TTGAGCGAGTCAACATTTTTATCCCAAGCTGAAAATTATAAGAAAAGAAAAGTTTAAACCAAAAAAAGAAAAAGTGATGAAATCAGAATCGAAATTATATTAAATTCAACTACTTTTCATTTTCTCTCTCTCTCTCTCTCTCTCTCTCTCTCTCTCTCTCTCTCTCTCTCTCTAACTTCTTCCAACTTTTTTTATTCGTTTGTTTGATTCTGAAGCGCTTAAAAAAATATTATTTCCGATCTGGTGTTAGCATTTTTATCATCAAATAACAACGACAGGTCTCGAAAGAAACGGTAGAAGTTCACGAAAGCTGGAGGGAAAATTTGATCATGAGTTTTATGTGCTTCGATATGGCGTAACGTAAATGGCCGGAAAGAGTCCTTTGCGAGATCCGATTTCACCAGTCCACCAATGTTCCTCAGATCGATTTGTGACGGTGATCACATCACCTCGTCGGAAGTCTAATTCGCCACTTTCTTGTGCGGTGAAATCGTATAAAGCCTGCACTAAACTCTCTTCAGGCACCATATCGCGTAACTTGACGTCTTGAGAACGTGAAACGGATGCAGTGCGATGATATTCGACGAGCTCATTGAGTGAGTTGAACTTAACGACCCACAAAAAGAATTTTCCTTGGTTGTCACGTAATACCTTGAAATGTTGAACACCATCCGAACATTTAACAGAGAGGGAAAAGTCACCAGGACTTGACTCACTGATTCGAATGAGAAAAGCACCGTCGTGTTTATTGGAGAGAAGTTTTTCGGCATCAGCTGTAAAAATATAAATAAATATTTAATTAATTAACACTTGTTGAAGATATGCATGATGATGAGTGATTCAACTGACCCCGCGTGATTCGACCATAATACCAATCGTGATTCTTCATTTCTATATAATTGCTGGGGATGAGGCCTTCTTTCCCATCTAATTCAGCTCGATACCAATTCATATCATCCTCCATGTTGAGAATCTTTAAAACCTGTTGTTTACGAAAGCTGAGCTCATCGTCAGCTGTTGCATTAAAATCATGTTTGGCTACTGCTTCCATCTTTTCTTTTCTTTATAGACGTAGTATAGCTGAAGAGATGCTAAAATGTATTTAGTTATTGGCCTTTTTCAATACGCTTGATGATGGTTTTTCCTTATTTTTAAATGATTATTATTATCAGATAATAGATGCTTAATTTTAGTGGCACTGTGAGAAATATTTTTGTTCTGTTGATACGGATTCACTTGTTGTCAACCTGAAAAGAAGTTTGCTATTAATAACAATGTTCACAGTGTCAGAAAATCGGAGACAAAAATGGTGCTTTCAAAGTTTTTGATATTTTTTCATTACTTTTCGGATATTTATACAACTTTTTTATATCTTTAATGTTTAGTCTATTTGAAGGTATCACTAAACACTTTTAAACTGACAGAGGATCCACTGAAAGAACATTAGATACTGAACAATGCGGAAAATTCCACAAAAAATGAATCATGAGAAGGCATCATTCCTAAATCATGTTACATTTATTATCACTAATTCAAATTTTTATCAGAGTTATTTATGAAAATACATGACTAATAAGTTATATTAAGCGACGCAAATAAAGATGTTCTTAGAAATATTATGCTGTTATCTCTAAAATCAACAAAAAATGATAAAAATTACTGATGGACGCGACCCAAATATGGCAGGCCGAAAATTCAATATATTAGCACATTTAACCATCAAATCGCAACACTTACAAGCAAATAATGATTTTTGACACTGCACTTGAAGTTTGTCAATTAATTAAACGTAAAAGGGAACAATAAAAAGCACTTTTTCTTAGAATTAATATGGGATTTAATTTTTATTCTTTCGAGGTAAATGTCGTACTTTTACACCCTGTTAACACAACTCATACAAAGTCGGCCTACGTAAACATGTGTGAGTATTCTCTAGATGTGTACACGTAAAAGTGTAATAGAGAAATAATCAGATCAGCAACTTTTAATATTCCTCCACGATATTTTCAGTGATGACTTTAAAAATCGAAAAAGCTGACTTACAACGTATCCCAGAATCTATAAACTTTCCACAGGAAGAAGAGAACATTTTAAAGTATTGGAAAGATGAAAAGATTTTCGAAAACTGTTTAAAACAATCAAAATCAAAGCCTCGGTAAATGAGTTAAAGGTTAGAGAAATTTGATGATGCAATTTCTTTTATTTATTTATTCCAGTTATACATTTTATGATGGTCCACCGTTTGCAACTGGTTTACCTCATTATGGTCATATATTAGCAGGAACAATTAAAGATATTGTCACTCGTTATGCTCATCAACAAGGTTATCATGTTGAAAGAAGATTCGGATGGGATACTCACGGACTTCCAGTCGAATATGAGATTGACAAAACTTTAGGTATCAAAGGTCCAGATGATGTTGCTAAAATGGGTATTGCAGCATATAACAACGAATGCAGAAAGATTGTCATGAGATATGCAGGAGATTGGGAAGAAATCATTGGAAGACTTGGAAGATGGATCGGTAATTAGTCGATAGATTCATGAAATAATTAAACAAACTGATGAAATGTTTTCTCTTTTAGATTTTAAGAATGATTATAAAACTCTTTATCCTTGGTTCATGGAATCTGTTTGGTGGGTTTTTAAACAACTTTATATGAAGGGATTAGTTTATCAAGGCGTTAAAGTAATGCCTTATTCGACTGCTTGTACTACTGCATTATCAAATTTCGAGTCTGGTCAGAATTACAAAGACGTTCAAGACCCGATGGTATTTGTTGCAATGCCATTGCTTGATTCTACAGAGAAAGTTTCCTTAATTGTATGGACGACAACACCATGGACTCTTCCTTCAAACATGGCTTGTTGTGTTAATCCCGATCATCAATATGTTAAAGTTAAGGAAATCGCTACAGGATGCATTTACATCATCATGGAATCTCGTATTGATTTTGTGTTCAAAACGAAAGATGCTGTTGAAGTTTTAGAAAAGTTTTCCGGCATTAAACTCAAAGGACTTCGTTACGATCCGCCATTTGATTTCTTTAAGAAATACGAGAATGTCGCTTTTCGTGTTTTGTGTGATAATTACGTCACTGAAGAATCTGGTTCAGGAATTGTTCATCAAGCTCCGTACTTTGGAGAAGACGATTATCGTGTTTGTCTTGCTCACAATGTAATAAAACGTGATCAGGAAATTGTTTGTCCACTTGATGCAAGCGGTCGATTCACAAATGAAGTTCCAGATTTTCAAGGACAATATGTGAAAGATGCCGACAAGAACATCATCAATGCGCTCAAGAAGAAAGGACGATTAGTTCGTTCTGGACAACATAATCACAGTTATCCTTTCTGTTGGCGATCAGACACGCCACTCATCTACAAAGCAGTCCCTTCATGGTTCGTCCGTGTTGAACACATGACGAAGCAACTGCTGGCTTGTTGTGCACAAACTTATTGGGTGCCCGACAACATCAAAGAGAAACGGTTCGGAAATTGGCTACGTGAAGCTCGTGATTGGGCTATAAGTCGTAATCGTTATTGGGGCACGCCAATTCCCATTTGGATGTCACCTTCAGGTGATGAAATTGTTTGCATTGGCAGCATTGAAGAACTGGAGAAATTGTCAGGCATTCTCGTTAAAGATTTGCATCGTGAGACTGTCGATAGCATTGAAATTCCGTCACAAACACCAGGAAATCCACCTTTGAGACGAATTTCTGAAGTTTTCGATTGCTGGTTTGAATCAGGCTCGATGCCATATGCACAACAACATTATCCATTCGAGAATCCAAACGAGTTTATGAACAAATTTCCAGCAGACTTCATTGCTGAAGGCATTGATCAGACACGCGGTTGGTTTTATACGCTTCTAGTTATATCGACAGCATTGTTTAACAAGCCACCATTCAAGAACTTGATTGCAAATGGCTTGGTGCTAGCTGCAGATGGCCAAAAGATGTCAAAAAGAAAACAAAACTATCCTGATCCAATGTTACTTGTTGGAAGATATGGAGCAGACGCCATTCGTTTGTATCTCATCAATTCACCAGTTGTTCGTGCTGAAAATCTTCGATTCAAAGAAGAAGGTGTTCGTGACATCATCAAAGACGTTTTCTTACCTTGGTTCAATGCTTATCGCTTTTTGTTCCAAAATATTGAACGATTTGAAAAAGAAGACAAAATTGTTTACAAATATGATGTCAATCAACATCATCGTAATCAATCAAACAATGTTATGGATGTGTGGATTGTAAGCTTCAAAGAATCTCTTCTGGAATTCATTTCGAAAGAGATGAAAGCTTATCGTTTGTATACTGTCGTGCCTCGATTAACAAAGTTTATTGATCAACTTACGAATTGGTATGTGCGGATGAATAGAAAGCGTATTAAGGGCGAAGGAGGCATTGAAGATTGTTATCATGCGTTGAATACACTTTACAGTGTTTTATTGGCGATGGTGAAAATGATGGCACCGTTTACGCCTTTCTTGACTGAATACATGTATCAACGATTGAGAATTCTTGACGAAAGTCTGCAACCTGGAAGTGTTCATTATGAAATGATGCCATCAGCTGACAATAACAAGATCAACGTTCCAATAGAACGAGCTGTCGCTCGAATGCAAGCTGTTGTTGAGCTGGGACGTGTTATGAGAGATCGTCGAACAGTTCCCATCAAATATCCGCTGACTGAAGTTGTTGTCATTCATCAGCAACAAGAATATCTCGACGATATCAATTCATTACAACAATTCATCACAGGTGAATTGAATGTCAGATCGATTGTGTTAAGTCAAGATAGAAAGAAATATGGCGTGACATTACGTGCTGAGCCTGATCATAAATTGCTGGGAATTCGACTTAAAAACGATGCGAAAATTGTTGCACAGAAAATCAAGCAACTGTCAGATTCTGACATTCAAAATCAATTAAAACGTGGGTGGTTTGAAATTGACGCTCATCGTTTGGAATTGAATGAAGTTCGTGTTATTTATCAATTTGGTGGTGACATTTCTGATGCTGTTGATTTTGAGGCTCATAGTGACAACGATGTTTTGGTGTTGCTCAACATGAAACCAAATCAAGAACTCGTTGATGAAGGAACTGCCCGAGAAATCATTAATCGAATTCAAAAGCTCAAGAAAAAAGCGAAATTGATTCCAACAGATCCTGTCATCATCACTTACGAAACATCCAAAGCTGACAGTGATGTTACGAGAGTTGCAATGAGTCATCGGTCGTTTATTGAGGGTGTTGTTAAGAGTAAATTTGTGTTGCATTCAGCTGAAGATGATAAACGAGAGCTCGTTATTGAAGAAACGCAAGAACTCAAGGATGTTACTCTGAAACTTAAAATCACGACATTAAATGAAAAAATTATGCCAAAACTTCCATGGATCAATGTAGTGCTTGCTGATGACGTGCAAATGAGATATGTACGATGTGATACTGCTCGTGTTTGCACTTTAAATCTTGAAGATTTTGGAGGAAATGTCATGACGTTGGAACAACTAAAACAAGAGGTTGAACGTGTCTTTGGCATCGGTCAAACGAAGTGGATGCTCTCAACTTCGCACGAGAAGCTCAATGAACTCAAAGAAGTATCGAGAAGTCTTTCAGGAAAAACAATTTTCATTTTTAGAAATGCGGTCACGAGCATTCCCCAACAATTCTTGTCAGCAATTTCACCTTTCAGTCAATTTGAGAATAAAATTGTCGAGAATCGTCATGTGACTGTTTACTTGGAGAATCCAGCAGTGATGTAATTTGTTTTTTGTCATTGAATAAATTAATTAATTAATAAATATTCTTTACAAAAGACTTCTTTGATTTTTGTATTACAAAATACATTTTATGAATTTTCAAAAAAGTTTATCAAAAACCAAACCCAGCATAACAAAAATTGTAAATAATTAAAATTATCATTAAAGTTTTAATGCATGAAAGTATCGAAATAACTAAAATTAATAATTAAATTGAATTACAACAATAACGTGTTAACAATTGACAGCCAAATACAAAATACTTTCAATCACACAACCACCCTCAATTTAAAACATTTTATCAACAATTTGCTACCAGCACATAAATATCCAAACGTATCGATTCTTAAATATATTGGAAGATTACGGAATGTGTTTCAGTTTAAGACTTGAAAAGTTCTACTTCAATAAATTACGTTTTATCGAGATATTTGTCATGTCAAGTTTTTCGTTGACTTGAAACTTAAATTGTTTTGTTAGTAAAATAAAAAGAAGCAACAACATTTGAGATTCCATTCTTCACATAAGTACACGACAATCGATTCTTGATTTTCATGTTTCATAATTAGCAAGACAAAAAGGAACTTTTCTCGTTATGTCTTAAATGATTACACAAAGGGTGTCAATCGCACTGTCATTTCGGTTAGGATCGAGGGATGGATATTGAAATACAATGGTGGAAGGGGAAATAGAAAGAATAATTAACAAACAAAAAAAACGAGAAAAATCACAAAGAAATCAGTCAATTTAATGCTCATTCAAATAATTACCCGACATTTGATAGACGCCCACGATATAAGCAGGCAGCTTATCAGTTGAAAAGAAGAACGTGAGCAGGAAATTGTGTTTGCCTTTAAACGTCCCATGCGGCCTTTTCATCAATGTGACATGCAACGGAATGAAAAAGGAAGAAAAGGGAAAACTTTTCCATTATCACGACAACAATTTATTGTTCTTGAATGCGTGCCCTTATTACGGCAAATAAATACCCCTCACTACAAATGTTTCTCATCGAATGCGGTGTTTTGTTAGCAAGCACATGCGATTTTCAGCCTCAAAAAGCATAGAAAGGAAAATCTCTCTTTCACCAAATTATGATTTATTGAAGAATGTTAATGAAGTTATGAAATCTTGTCGTTATCTCAAGGTTCTTTCTCAATATACTTACTTACTTATTTACTTACTCACGAACAGTTATCTCATGTTAAATGTTACATTTTTCTGTAACTTATACTTATTTCCTTCATCTTCCTTTTGCTTTCTTAATTGAAAATCTCTTAAGATTGATTGGGTGAGTCGAAATGTGTGCAATATTTTGATATCAACAGTAAAATGCATCAGATATTCAACAACCAATAATAAAAATAAATATAAAGCCTAATGAAATTAAATAAATTTCAATAAATATCAATATGAAAAGTTTAAACAAATGTAAATTGAATTTCCCCTTATCTTCTTTATTTTCGCGCCTACTTACTTGTCATGACCCTTGCTGTTATTTTCTTCTCCTTATTCTTTTTTCCAAGGTTTAACATCTTTCTTTTTTTTCTGTTCTATAAAAAAACGTCATTAAACTTTTAATGAACATTTCCCATTAATATCCATAACAGTTTTCTTCACTTTCTTTCAGATTTTATGGCATAACATTCCATATTACAACAACAGGACGGTCTTCAGGATATAATTTTGACTTTTCTTTTCTTTTTCTTTGTTTTCGCTTCGCTTGGCATTCGCGCATCATTATTTTTATTGCAAAAGTGAATTAACAGAAGGTGTGAAATGGTTGGTTTTATGAAAGTAAGTATGTAAGTAAAACAGAAGAAATGGGAAAAGCTGAAATAAAAGTTTAATGATAATTAAAAGAAGGAGTCCGGTAAGAAAATCAGTGTCTAGGATTAGAATGAATGGCAGTCTGAAACTTGAGGTTTCCCTTGGACAGGAAAAATAATATCAACAATTTTAGATTAGCTAAGTAAGGATTTTAAAGTACCAAATAAATATCTTTCATACAGTAATTTTTTAAGATTTAAAAATCCTTTGTAGGAAAAATGAAATTCTTACAAGCATTCGTCTCAAGAGTTTAACTTCATAGCAACAATTTTATGTGTTAATGTTGAGACTTTAATTTCTCTAGAGATGCTTATTTGTGGAAATAAATATAGATAGAAACATATCCTAAAAAATGTTACCTCGTATTGTGGCTTTTCCTTCTCTCGAGAGCGAAATGAACCATGAATTTTTAATGAAAAAATGTGGAAAAATGAACCACCATACAAATCATGTAGATATGTACAATTGTTGAAAACTATTTTCGTTTTATTCTATATTTCACCTTTTCCATTTTTTTATGAATCAAATCTGATTTTTTTTCCTCTCTCTTCAAGCGGTTTTCCTCGTAACCAAAGGGCCGGATAAGAATTATTAATGTGTTATGAACCGCTTTCTGTGGAAACATTCCGAGTGACTTGGATGAAAGTGAGACAATTTTTTATGTGAACCTCAGAAAAGGGAAGAAAATCCTCAGAAATCCCACAGCTTTGGCCACACGTAAAAAGCATAAGTGTACACCATTTCGGCCTAATTAAAGCAATAAATCACGTCATAAATAAATTCAAATTTCTCTTTATTTTTTTACCGACTTGACGGAAAATGTTTCTCATTACTTTTAAATTATTCGGCGATTTCAGTTTGTCTGTAAAGCGATTAAATTAAAACCCTTAATTAGCCAAAAGGAAATCCTTGGAATCTTCTTAAATGCCCTGCAAAAAAACAAAAAAAAAATTAAAAAAAGCAAAGACGTAATGAAAACATCTGTTGCCACTTTAACCCTCAATCGTGGGTGAAGCATCATTCTAGAAGAAGACAAATTGTGCGGATGAGAGAAGGTCTTTTTTTTGTCTGGAGTGAAAGATGATATCAAATAACTTAATGTCACTTTTCGTTTCGTAATTAAATACTTTTCATTTAGCCTTCTCTGTCAGAAAACAACTTGAGATGAGTGAGTAAGAAAAAATCAGAAAGGGTTGTGAATGGCAGAGCGAATGGCTATGAAAAAGTGTCTTCTGTTAATTGTGTCAGAAAGAATAATGCAAGTAATGTAATTTGAAGGGCTTGTATTAATTGTGGACGATGCCCGTTAACAAACTCATGTTTATAAATAGTTTCCAAACTTAAATTACTTTCCTTACTTCCCATATACATTTCATACTGCAAATTGTAATAAGAATTGTCGTTTTAAATCAGAAAACATTTATTGTTTAATTATCTAATGCATTTTAAAGCTTCTCATACCATTTTCATGATATGTTTGCTAATGTCAAAGGAAATGTATACCGAGTGTGACTGAAATTTCAAAACATCATTTTTTCAAACCAAAATCTTCCTAAAAGGGATTTGAGATCATCTTAAAAAGACCGTCGCAAAGTAGATGAGCTAAGAAAAATGTTTGCCGTCGCTCTTAAAACATCCCTTCAGGATGAAAAATGTCGAAAAAACAATTTTTCCTTTTCTTTTTTTCTTCAAAACATTTTTTTACATCTTTTTATTTCAGGGGTTATCCCGCGGTTTGTTTCTATTTGCTTCAAAGAATTGTTTGTTTATTGTCCTAACTTCTGATAATCTGGGAAAATTGTTAAAGATTGTGAAGAGATTTGTGAAGTTTTTATGGCATGAGAAGTTGTGAAAATGTTTGATGATGTTTTTTGACATTTATGATTGTTGACTCCTTCATATATAAGTAGATATTTACTCGTACTTACATACATTGTAACGTTTGTAAGAAACAATTGAAATAGTCAATTACAACCCTCTATTTATATTGGCTTAAATATTGGCCAGCTCAAAACAGCTTTAATGTAGATAATTTTTATCGATATGTACCACATTTTCTCCCTTAGAGTAAACTTTGCCAGAACTTTAAGAAAAAATTGTTAAGACATATAATCAGAGGGAGAAACGATGCGTTTTAAGAAGCAATAATCTCTTCTTTCTCCTACAGCTCAAGTGAAACCTTTGACTGAACGAACGAAAGTTCCGATGTTTATCAAAAACATAAATAAACTAAAGCATCAGACGTGTTGGGAATCAATAAAATAATTTTTCAATAAATAGTTTTTCTTTCTTGTTCGAGACAAACTTTGATGGTTGTTGTCGGTTTGTTGAAATTCAATTAAGAAGAAAAATCATTGGAGAGTAAGTAGTTTGAAGTCTTTTCACATTGTCAGATGTTAATTGCGTTTTCAATTGTTATGTGTGTTGTGAGTGGAATGTCTGAGAAGTTGTGAAATTATTCAGAAGGATTTATTCATTCATAGTCGCATAGGATTTTCACTCCTTAATAATGAAAGTAGATAGCGCTGAAGGTATTCCAAACATAAACACAATTTAATTACCATTGAACAAAACTTTATTAGATATCTTGTGTGAACCTTGGACATGACATTAAAACTTTAGTTAATTATACATGAAAAATGAGTAGGATTTGACATTAAATTGACAACAATTTAGAAGTAAAAGGCCACAAGTGACTTAATGAAATGTCTAAGAAATTCACAAATCTGTTTTTAACTTCACATTAAAGTTTATTTTATAAACAACGTAATGTGTTTCGTGATTGCTTTTCCATGGAAGAAATCATAAGAACTTCGAAGGCATTGAAACATTTTCCGACTCATAAAATAATTTTAAACTACCAGATTCCAGATTGTGACATTTTTATGAATTATAGAAACCATTATCCTGTTTGTGGTTAATGGCTTGTCACAAATTTTCTATGCAAATTGCAAAGGAAATTTTCTTCAGATCTAACAACGCCTTTAGCTTTAAATTGTTTCAAATTGTTTAAATAATTTGATTAATGGAAACTCTTTAAAGTCATTTGAAGCAAGCTAAAAATTTTCCAAATGAAATAATTTTCAAATTATTTACTCTTCAGTTGGTCGAGTTAAATAAACAAAAATTAATTAATTCTCAACCTATCAAGTGAGTTACATTTCTGCCGGTTCTAAAACAAATATAAATGTGTTTGACAAAATTTTCCAACCTTTCGCATTTCAACATAGCAGAAAAGTTATTTCCCATGAAAAATTGTTCAATCTCTCCCCTTGAAAATTATATTTTGACATGATGTTTCCGAAGCTGAAATGATACAAAATGTAACAAAAAAACGAGCTGATGATGCTAAGGGTGTCGTTGATGGTGAAACAAGCGGAGTAAATGAAATTGATACCGAAATTACCTTCCGGGGTCTTCAATTCTTTTTCATTTGATGTTTTCTTAATGAAATTTTCATTTATCCCTGATGCGGTTTTGAGCTCATTTTTCAAATCAACAGTTCAACAGTTTTCATTGATTCATCAAAAGGCTTTGTTACCTCTTTAACAAAGTTTTACTTTTAATCGATATTTTGAAGGGAAAATAAGTATTTCTTATGTTCTACACTAAATGTATGTAGATGTATACATGGTTATATATATTTCTTAGTACTCTGTGTTCTCTCGTTATAATTCTGTAAGCTGTAAAGAAATTCAATATCGATTTTCACATGCTCGTTCAACACAGAAAAACCTTGAAGGTTTCTTTTTCTCGTATCGTTGTCGTAATACTTTTTTGATAAACTTCAGTGCGCATCAACATGTTGCGCAACATGAATGAAACATAATTTTTGTTGCATGGGGAAATCTCCAACAAATTTCATATTTTCTCTCTTTAAAAACGACTATATGCTTCATGAAATGATATTATGCGACAAAAACTTTAATCTTTATTTACAAACGAAAAATATTGCTTTTTTCGTTATACACATGTGAGCTTTTACAAAGAATTTACTTGGTCAACTTTTATTGGACGAATTTTTTAAGAGAGAAAATTTGTCACCAATATCACCATAAAAATTGTAACCTTCCCTCCCGCTTATTGTTGTGGTGCTTAGTGCTAAAAAAAATCTCCAGAAGCCTGAAATTGTCCTTGCGCAGAGCTATTTGAGGCGTAACTTCCAGGTGGATACTTGTGTATAACTTATATTGTGTCAAGTGGTCACATAAACTTTTTTCCCTGTTTGTGCAACCTATTTTCATATTAATATCAAATATTTACTCCTCTAATTCATTCGATTTGAAAGAAAAGATGCTAAATTGCTTTGAATTTTAAATTTCCCGAAGCTATAAGTAATTTTGTTGCATGCACTCAATTTCTCATATCGTAACATCAGATCTCAATTCATTTACCAAAGTAGTTAAAACTTAGAATGAAATGATTATTAATCATAAAATCATTGGATTTAAGAATTAAATTGAATTTGAAGAAATTTCCACGCATGCTCTTGATTCCTATACATGAATCTCGATAAGTAACAGAAACCAAAATGTTAATCATAATTTTTTAAGTCATCACGATGTTATAATAAAGATTAAAAAAAAACTTCATTAGATAATAATATTTTCCATGTTACTATTATCTAATTCAATAGTATTTCTGTTTTTATGATATTAATAAAAAATATTGCAGCACAGTTAAAAACAATTTTCAATTTATAAAGGAATGTTCTCCAAAGATATATAAATATGTTACTTGTCAGTATTTCGCAGCAGTAACAGTAGCATCATTGAAACAAAAAGTTGCACATGGATATATTTAAAACTTTTATGAATCAGATTTGACTCGAACTGATGTTTCACTTGTAATAACAATAATAAATTTTAGTGACACATTACGGTTTGTTTATTGAAAAAATGTCGGTGTCCCGAAATGCTGATCAGAATCTGATGTGTGTTTGTTTCAGTCAAATGCCGTAATCTGTAATAACAGTAGGAACGTCTTTCATGGAAACGATATGATTTGTTTACAGTATACGCATTTTTCACAGATTTTGAAATATAACTCTTATGCCTCGACTAAAAGTTTTTCACTTTTTTCAGTTCGTTCTACTGAGATTTCCACATTGTCGCGAGTTTTGTTTATGTTTTCTCTTCCCACACGAAAAAAAAAAGTTTATGGCGTCCATGTCAATAGATTTGTTTATTCTGATGATGTGAACTTTTACGAGTTTTTTTATTCTTCGGAAACGTGACGACTGTTTTTTCGGTTTAATTATGATTGAGAACAAGAATAAAAATTCGGAGACTCAGGAAACTGAGCCGTTTCACTTTAATTGGAATTATTATTGAAATATTCTCTTTATGTACATATGATTCATGCTAAAGGTTGATTTTTACCTGCAATCTCGAGAAACCCTTGTAAAAGTGTAATCATTTATTATATCTCAATGTTTGATATTCAAACAGAATTATCCATCTGACTACATCAAAAGTTTTGTGTATTTGAACCTTGAATGTAACTATCTATCTACACACATTTATTGTTTCAAACATGATTTTAATTATCTGGTTTGCATCAATAAATTTAATTAATTTATCTACCTAGTAATTTGTTAACAATGTCATAATACTTATAAAGATAATTATATTCATCTGAATAGTGAATATTTTCATGATCAGAGCTTTTATGTACAAGTTGTGTGACAATAGAATCTATCTAGATGTAAGTATAGAAATTGTTGAATAGCCTCAAAAAAAGGTTTTTATTTTTTTCAACTCATTCTAAAATTGACCCACTGCTTTCATCGCATCCCTTAATTAAAACAAATTTGCATGAATAATAATTTTCTCTATATCTATGAAACCGAGTAAATTTCTCCTTTCTCCTATGATTTTTAATGTTGCTATGTCGACGATTCATTAAAGGAACATTTTCCAATCTGCCATTGTGTGGAAGCGAAACCCAACATAATAAAACGCTGATGAAGAAAAAGGTGAACAAAGTTCTTTTTTAATTATCGCGGAAGGAGAAAGAAAATTATTAAATGGAAAATGGATAATTCCTCGATGAGGAAAAATCTTTTAGGACGCCTTAATTACATTCATCATCAAGGAGAAAGGAAAGGAAAATTAAAGTCAATACCGGTCGAGTAATGTTCTGGCGAGTTGATGAAAGGGAAAGAAAGAACTTTTAGTTGCTGGCATTCGTGAGCGATTGTTTCGATAATCTATGTTGATAAAATTATTGTCAGCTTGGTCGCATTTTGAGCGAATGATAAAGAAGGCGAGGCAGAAACTGATAATGAAAGAATGAAAAGGGAAATACAACAAAGGCTCGTTCTTTCCGTGTTTCTTAGTCGCTTTTGCCTCAAGCGCTTAATGCGGTTATCTCTCGTTCTACCAATTTAACCAGTGCTGCTTTTCAAAAACATTAATTACATTCAATTACCAAATATGTGAAAAGTACACTAAACTGTTGTTCTGCCAAAGAAGAGGAGTAAAGTGAGAACTGTTGCGCGATGGAAAGGAAGTTTTCACTTCTTGATGATGTAATTACAGCCATGTTATCATAAATATTGTAATAACGTTATGATGTTATAAATGAGACGTAATTTCTTTCTTTCTCTCTCTTATTCACTATCTCTCTCTCTCTCCCTTTTTCTCTTTCTATCTCATCTTCTCCACTTTATCGATTATTTATGGATCTTCCGCTTAATTGATTGTTATTGGTTTTTAAAATAAATTTAAACTGCGTTTCGATATTTAATTTATGCAGTGTAAATTATAATCGATTCCCACATGGTTAAGTTTAGTTGAATGATTTGGTTGGCAGCATTCCCATTCAGATTTTAAGTTTCCTCCTTTTCAGTTTTGTCGTCAGTTTTGCTTTGATAAGAAGTTGAATAAAAAAGAAATACAAAAGATTTTTCGTAGAAAGATCAAGTGAAAGTATGAATGAAGATTTAAGCTTAAAGAAGATTGAAAAACGAAGAGAGACTTTGATAAACTCTCTTGGAAAATGGAAAATTACTTCTGATTTTCTCTTGCATTATGCATCAAATAAATTTCTAATTTTAAAAATATTAAATTTTCATTTTTGATCATAAATTATATTAGAACATGATTTCTTAATATGGACATTTCCTTTTATTAAAAATAAAGTGACATAATAATAATTTTATTTAAACTGTAGATATTCAAATTTGCTTCAGTTTTTTTGTATGAAAAGATTGAAATAATCTTGGCGACTGTTGAGAACATCATGCTGTGAAAAATCAATTCACAAGAAAAGATACGGAATATCTACTTTGCCGTCGTTCAATGGCAATAAAGTCTTTTTAAGCATTGCCATATGCGCAATTCACTATATTCACTCATTTTTTGTCACTGCTATATTTTATTTGTGAATAATGAATATGAAGGCATAATAGTCTGAGAGATATATTTATTTGTATAAATTAAAAGGTTACACAGAAAAAAAGCGAACGTCCGAGAGTGAAAAAATCTTCATCGATACATATATTATAACGCATAATAAAAACGCTCATGGATTGAAAAACAATAACGACGAGAACGCGTTCAAAATGTCTTCGCTGAGTGCACTGGAAAAAGATCAATTCCCAGTGTGAAGCATTCGTTAAAGTCGCGTTATTTAAATTGTTTTTAATATCTAGATATCCAAAAAAAGAAAACAAAATAGAGAGAAAAAGGTAACAAAAAGTTTCATTTTAATTTAAAATTTTAAATGTTTCTTCTTTACCTACAACTAAGACTGGAAACGTGTCAGATTTTTTTCTTATTTTTATTTCATCACATAAATTTCTTTCTGGGTTTCTTCCATGCCATTATATATCTGTCGGCAATTTCAATGAAATAATATTGTGATATAAAATCATACAGCGTTTTGCATTATATTTTTATTACTTTATCCAGTTTAATCAATAAATCTCTAGCAGTGTGAGTACATATTTGCATCTGCGAGCAGTTTTAAACATTTTTTTTCTCTTATTCCTCCTCTCCACATTACTGCCAATATAATAAAATGTATTTTAAAAGGCATGTTAAGCACCGAACAATCATTGAAATTGCAATGTGAAAAGCAAGCTAAAGTGCATTCAGGAGAGAAAAAGCACAGAAATAACACATACGATAGATCATTCTGGGTGTCAAGTTAAAGCCCTGTTAATATAAACAAACATCAGAATATGTGAAAAAAACCAAATATGTTGCACTTAATATGTTATTTTTGGACGCTTTAGATTGATACATTTAATCGGTTTTGCTCAATCTGTTAAATTATTTTCAAGTACACGTCCATTCAAATAACGATGACTGAACTTCTCCAAAAATTTTGTATTTCACTGTTGCTATTTACACAAAGTCAAATATGAAAAATATAAAGAAGAGAGAAATCAAATGGAATTTCATATTTTCTGCTATACCATTATGTTCGTGATAGATAAAAAAAAATGAATTGAGTCAAATAATTTGAAAGAAACTTTGAGCAGCAGTGAAATGATGTTCAAGTTTTGTTACAAATAAATATAGAAAGAAATCAAACATTTGCGACACATGTACCGTGTACATGAATGTTGTTATGTTATGTTATAAGAAAACAGTTAAAATAGAAGAGTTATTCATGATTCCCTGCAGGGCTTTTAGATCTATCGAGATAAATATAATTATATAAATATAAAACATCGTGAAATCGTGACGTTTCGGGTGACATTTTAAGGGATTTTTTGAAATGCTTTGACATTTCAAAACCCCTGCTTTCATTTAGCTTGAAGATACAAACAATTTGACTGTTTAACTCTTTTTGAAAAGAAAACATTTACAAAATTGAGAAGTTGAACTATGAAGAAAAAGAAAACAAAAGAAATGGAACAATTTGATATATTGTTTTGCGTCTTTAGTGATTATTGAATCTCTCACACTTTGTCAAAGATTTTTCAGGTTCGCTTGAAGAAAAAGTTTAGTCAGCATGAGATCGGCGGGAGTGAATGAGTTCTGTTGGTAATATATTTAGATATGAGAGCGAGCGGGAAGGTTCAAGCTGACTTTGTTAATTGAAAAGCACAATTTAGAATGTTGTAAGGGAGACACGAGACACGACACTCAAACACACTGTAAGGAAAAATATTAAGTGATGTTAGTGTTTCTCCGAAAATGAACAAAACATCCCGGGGCTAATCGTGCCGTGCTCTGAACAGACTTGAAATTGTTCACTGTCTTCATGATTTCGTTTAACGAAGAAAATAAAAACCTGTCGCTTTTGAGCTTTGTCATCGCTGTTGTTCTTTTATGTTGTTGAATGTCATGTTGAATCATTTAGTAAGCAGTCGAATCAGTGATGCTTATATTCGGATTGGTGATAATTTCCTAAAATATAATTGTAAACGTCGTCGTTTGGGCGAGATTGAACTGATATAAAACATGACTCTTGAATCGAAGAAAGAAATTGCTTCGTAAAGTAAAAAGACTTTAAAGTGTTGAAAGCAATTCCAATAATAAACGAAAACAGTTTTTATGATGGCCAAGACCATTTCAACCAATTTAAATGTTTATGCTCAATCATCATTATGTGGAAAAAGGTAAAAGAAATCATTCTACATTCTACGAGCCTTATGTTCCCAACACCGCCATCCGCGCACTTCTTTTCTCATTCTTCATATCTGGTCTGGTCATGTAATATAGTCAATGATGGAATAGAAGAAAATAAAGAAGTGTTGAAAATCAACCGCAATTTTTCATTAGCCTTTACATGGCAAGAGATCCCATTATGCTACATACAGCACTACAGCAGAAAAATACTTTAATGATAATTGAAGCATATGAGCAGTCATTACAATGTCTCTTGAAACCATTATGGAGACGAGGTTAGATGAAACGTGGAAGGCGGAATTGTTTCATAAAACATAAGACGAGCAATTACTATGGAACTCAAACAAAAACTTTATCCGGATTGTTAGCATCGCAATGGTTGTTGTTATTCATCAATTCTCTAATACTTTAAGTCTTGTTTCTGTATTATAAATAATCAACTATGAAAAGGGTGTAAAATTAAGCTGCCAATGAACTTCGGTAAGACTGAAATATTTATCAGTTTCCTATTTTAGTGTGTAAATATAAACATAAATGTTGATAGATAAGAAAAGAAGATTTACTGTAAATATAAATATGTTGATATGCAAAATACTTGAACTAATTTCAACTGATTTGTGCAACTTTTGGAATTCAATGTTGATTGAGCTTGTTGCAGTTGATTATTGAGAAACCATTATCAGAGATTGAGATTTGTTTGAGATTGATAGATTAACTACCTAAAAACCTAATCCTGTCAGACTGTTTTGTGATCAAAAATCTTCAATCTCAAAAGAGTTACAATTGATCAATCCTAGAATCCTTTAAAATTAAACCTCTGAGCGATAAAATTTTCCTTCTTTTTCCTTTTGAAAAAATCAATCAAAAATTTCTGATTGGCAATATCCCATCATGATTTCACCATTATAGCAGTTGAGTTGAAGAAAAATGTAATCGCACTCAAATCACATCCACATAAGTGCGTATGTATATTAATTTGCGGTAAAATTGTTTTCCATGAGAAGTTTTATGGAAATTTCGCCTTTATGATGCCATAGGAGAAAATGATTTTAGATCTAAAATCTTACCCAAAATGATTTTAACTAGGGTTGAGTGCAGTCAAAGGTATAAAGAACGAAATTTCTGATGATAATATAACCTTAATATTAAGAATATAATGTCAGACTTTGTCTAGGGCGTATAAAGTTCATGGTTATTGTTTTAACCCTTTTTAATGGCTTCAGCATCAAGTTCTTGAGGAAAATCGACCGACGAAGGCTTTGTTTACATAAAATATCATCATTATATCAATTTATGTACAAAAATTTTACAGTCTGCATGAAATTTTAATTTTTCGTACAAAAATGAAACGATGTTAAAAAATATCTCAATGGATGTGGAAGTTTTTAATGAAATTTTCAAGATAAAAATTTGTTTTGAACTTATCCTTTCAGCAGCGATCGGATTCGAGTGATTTCTATTTAATTATTCATCCGAAAGGATATAAGAAAAAAAGCAGAGATGATGAAATGTTTTTGCAGGAGTTTTCAATGTTGTTTAGATTGGCATCATGGCCGTAATCTGTTTTTATAGCTTTCGAAAATATTTTCGTCATCATTAATAAATGAACTTTTTTTCAATTCCAATCAACGTCAAGTTGAGGTTTTTCAATCACTTTAATTGAATTTAAGTCTTACCTTGTCGTTCCTACCAAAAGTTTGATGTTTCATTCCATCGTTGACTATGACGGTTGATGCGGGAGAATAAAAACACATTGCCCGTCGTTCTCAAAATAAATAAATAAGTAAGTGAACAAAAAAAGATAGAAAGAAAGAAAGAAATAAAAGAAAATCTTTCTTAGCATCGTGTCGCGTGTTAGGAAAATAAATCTAGTGTGACAGACGCAACGAGCATTGAAGCTTATCGTATCTACATATTTATTTAATAACCGCTTGAGTGAAACTTCATATTTTTGAAGCACTTTACCGGTTAATCTGGTGATCTGCTTTATGTCATCTGCTTTGTGATTAAAATGTAAAGTATTTTGTTTGTTTCCATCAAAGTGTAATTTTTTTACTTCCCCTTCAAACGCCATAAGCATGCAACCTGAGCACTAAAATTAAATCATCGAGCAAACGTGAAAATAATTGAAAGCACCAGGTGAAACAGGTGACTTACGGAAAGGCAGCAAAAGTTGTTTCTATTATGTGATGAATATTTCATATTTTATCTTTTTATTTCTTTCTTTTTCTTTTTGTTTCTTTAAAATTAAACGAGTTTCTTTTGGGGCTCACATTGCGTGACAATACCGTTTCAAAACTGAAAGGTAACAATCAAATATAAACGACACCTCGAAGCACTAGAGCGAATCAAAAATAAAAAAAATATGACGAATCATTGAGCCACCTGAAGAGTTTCGTTTTCTCTTCATGTTTATATGTACAAGGCTCATCGTACGCGACAAGCAAATGTCCCAATGTTGCGAGCATGGCATCGGCATCGGGCACGGTTGTTGAAATGATATGCTATTTGTCAGCAATTCTCCGTAATTTAGATTGTTTGGATTGACAATAATTGTAGGTAAAGAGCATATTTACAACTCACACTACGATTGGGTGCCTTCCCCTGCGAAATTTCACACTAAATATTTATTATGCCATGAATAAATGTGGAGAAGAGGAAGAAAACGTTTTTTGAGCAAAACATATACAAGCGTTCGTGTCATTTATCCACTCAACAGTGAAAACGTTTGAAATTTCATATTTTCTTTTTATTTTTCAATCATTACATGAGTGATGTTGGGTTGAATCAAGGGTTTAACATACTTACATTTATGTTATAAAGAGACTTCTTTTTTTATTTTTAAGAATTTTTATCTCTCAAGAACTATCACATTACTTTATGACATGACATATGACAAAATTTCACTTTGATGGATTCAATTCACATCTTTGTCGTCTCATGAAATGAAAGTCATTGACTTTAAGTAACTCACAACTTCACAAATAAATACTCACTTCATATTTATTATAAGCAGATATGAAAGGAAGGATAGAAATAGTACAATCCAATCGAATAAATAAATGATAAATTATTTGACCATAATTTGCCAATGTTATAAATGATGACTCTTGGAAAATCGAATTCATATCTCAATTTCATTAAATATTCATTTTTATAACTCAATATCATATGAAATGATAAAAGAAAAGATTTTTCGAACATGTAGAGATGCTTAAAGTCGTTATCTATTCTCATACGACACCTCAGAGGGTTTTTCCGATCATTTATCAAGACACGGGTCAATCATATTTCGTATGTAAGGAAGAATGGAAGAAAATCTTAGAATGTTGAAGAAAGCAGATGAGATTTTTCATTATTCTGGGGGGAGGGAAGGGAAGCAAGACGAAGTCATAAAATTCATTTTATCATTTGGCACTTATAATAATATCAATATTTTATAACACACATGGGGTGAATGCAGAAGAAGAATAATTTATGACAATTTTATTCGGTTTCCTCCCAATTTCATGTATTCTTATTCACTCTCATATTGACCACTTGAAGTTAAATGGGTTTAGATCTGAGAAAATGTGCAATTCATATTATATTTCAGAACACATTTCTACTTTTTTTTAAAAAAATACCAAATTGAAATTCATTGTTGGATGCAGGAAAACATCAAACTTTTCAATTTTTTAAAGCTGATGCGATATAAATAAATAAAAGTTTGTAAAGCGACATCATCTGAGAATTGACTTTAAGCATCGTTCAATAAAAAGAAGGTCCATGTCTAATGATTACTTTAATTCAACGTTAAATATATTCAGGCGAAATCGCCAAAGAAATTATGTAAAAAAGAACAATAAAAATGAAAACTTTTTAAAATAATGTTCATCTTGTTAAATAAAACTCTTTCTCTCTCTTACTCTTTAATGTTTTTGTCGACGAGCAAATTTTAATCAATTAGGGAGCAAAGTAACATATCTTAATAATTTCTCTAGGGAGTCGTCTAAAGAAGAACCCTTTTTGTTTGTAAATCCCTATCGTTTCTTGAAATACTTAACCTTTAAGCAGGTTAACATTTCTTTGCATAAATAAGGCAATTAAATATTTTTTCTGTCTTTCTACGCTGTTGGAGAAATGAAAAAAGTCAACAAAGTATTAAAATGACTCCAGTAAATTAAAAGTTTGGAAGTTAGTTGCTTGTACAATTTGGGATATTTACAGAAGATTAAAATTCATATTTCATTTATTAGCTGAGTTAGGCTCAATTTTAGAAGTGAATAAACTAGAAGGAAGCATCATTCTAAACATTTCATTTCTAGTCAAATCTTCTATTAAGCCGAATATTTGTCCATAAATATTTAACATTTGAATTTATGACTTTCTGAATTGCTACATAATTTATGAAGTTGAGGATAAATATTTTCTCCTGATTTATTGTCAAATGATGAAGTGAAGGCAAGGGTCAGGCTTTATAACATGATATCAATGTAGAATTATTTATTCTATTGTCGCTTCTAATCAGATGTAACACTTGTTACTATCGAAAATAAATTATTGTCTACCGATATTTGATGTCACTCGTGTAAATATTAATATTTATTAGCCCAGCCATAAAAGAATGCTGGAAGGAAAACATCTAGCTACGACGATAACATGAACGTTCTAATGTTCCGATAATTCCTGATAAATTTCATAGAAATATTTTCTTCTTCAAGATAAATCTACTTACATGAAGCATGATTGCAGCACTTAATCAACATTCCCAGTACATCTCTTAATATATTCGGAACTTTCTCTTCATTGCATAAATTCGAAGACTTTACAATTCTTATAAATGGTAGAAAATCCATTATGTTTCATAAATATATCCTTCATGCATAAATCAATTGAAGCATAAACATCTTTTACGCTCCTCATGATGATGATGTCAAATCTAACTTGCAAGTTGAAAGAAAATCCTGAGTGAACAATAAAAGAGGACCAAAAATGTATCTTTATGAAAGAAATGATTTTTAAGTTCTCGTCATCGATATTTCATTTCGTTTCACGTTATCTTCTTCTTGAGAACATCAGACACATTTAAATATATTTTCTTTGTCATACACAACTCTTCATCAACAACGACGGCATCAGCAACAAAAACATGATTATTCTTAATTACATGTTGTGATGACAGAAAGCAAAAAAGGCAGAAAAAATAAATATTAAATACAAAGCAAGAAACTAAAAACTGAATTGGTTTGATGAATTGTTGTTGTGAAGTTGATGGCATAGGGAAAAATAATAAATCAAATGACATTCAAAATTCTTTTGGAATTCTCGTTTTGTTCTTGTTCTCGACTAGTTGTTAATGTTAATGAAAAAAGAACAAGGCAAAAAAGAAAAATTCAGATCACTTCTAAATGTGAGTAGGCAATTTCTAAAAATTTTTATAACGACAAGGAAATTTGTTCTTCGCATCATTAGAATGACTCATGATAAAAAATTAAGTGGAAACATTCTCTTGTTATTTTGGAGCTTTGATGTAAAGAGAATCTTGTTAAGATGTTGCAACATTTAACAGAATAGTATTCATGACAACTTGCGAAAAGGTTTTTGCTCTCTTACCATCGTCACTTTATGAAACGACACGCCATCAATAGTGAACAAAGCAATCACCTGAAATCAAATTATTTTTTCATTTAAATTTAGTCTCATTGAAGTCATTTTAATCCTTCAAATTCTTTCTTCAAATAATCTCATCATTTGATGAATGATGTTGCATTTTAAATGAAAATGAATAAAAATTCTTAACTTTCTTTCAAAAGATATTTAATAAATACCTGCGACAAAAAAAAAGAGAGACTCACTGTACAGCTTTCATCAGTTATTAAAATTTCAAGGCTTAAGTTACACAAAATGTTTTGTTAACGATTTTCAATAAGAAATCAGTTTATTTTTAATGACATTTTGAGATTTATATAAACACAAACATGACACGTTGTTCTTCTCGGGACAATTAAAAAAATGTTTTATTGAATTCACTGGAATCATTGCACGGTTGTTAATTGAACATTAAATGGTTTAAAAGTATGTATGCACTGCCTATGCAGATATGAACATATAAAATGCTTACAACATTAATTATGAAATTGTACAATTGCATCTGAAAGTTACTTAATTTAATGTTTTGCGTTTGATAAGTCAGATGAATTGTTGTTAAACTCTTCCATGAATACTTATGATGAAGCTCAGGTTGAGATTTTTCCTGATCACGAACTCTAAACACTAAATTAAGGAATACCTACAAATTAATCAGGGTAAGGAATAAAAACATATATTCTAGTTAGACTCAAAGCTTAAACAAGAATTATATCGATGAAGAATTCACTTCCATTGAAAGGCAACCGGGATGAAATTTCTCTTAAAGACTTCACTTGCACGATTTTCGTATCTATTTAATTTTCTTGCTGCCATATGCTTCCAACGAAAGAGATTACGAAACGATGGATTTTTCTCTTCATGATCTCGGCTTAGCAATTTCTTAATGTCAAATGTGAAAAGAAAATTGTAATCTCAGTGTCATAGCAGCTTGAGTAATTTTTTCTTTCTTCATTCCTTCTGCATTTTGTCTTTTCGCAAAATGTTATCTCGTCTAATGTCGTCCACTATAAACGTTCTAATGATGACATGGGAAAATGTTTGCTGTTAATCTCATGGCTTTCTTTCACCTTCTTACAATTCATCAACCAAGATAATTGCACAATCGTGATACCGCTCCTTCTTCTTTGCTAATTTCATTCTTATGGCTGTGTATTAACGACACATCTCTGTTCAAGAGAACAGAAATGAAATATGCGATTATGGAGAAGACGTTGTAAGCAAGCAACTGCTGAAGCATTGCATTGCATTGCAGATGAATGAAATGAGAATGTGGCTGAGAAAAGAAAAGACTGGAGAATTATTAAATTGCATCATATATGCTACCAAATGATGTATATTGGGTAGAATTGAACTTAATGTAATTCCCACGATTCTTCAAGGTTCAAAACTTCAGAAGCACTGTCGTCGTCACAATGTTCTTTCGAATTCGTAGAATTCATTTCGTTTTCGCATAAAGTTATGTTCTTCTATGTAATTTGGAGTAAATCACGATCTGGTGATTTGATGAAAATCAATTTAATTGATGAATGTAAAATATGCGTTATCAAATCAATCAACATGTTGATATTGAAGTCGATGGGAAAAGCAACGTCAATTAATTTGCATTCATTTTGCGTACTAAGAAGAACTTCAGATTTTATGATGAAAATAAAGAAATTCCATGGAAAGAACGAACGTAATGTAATGGAAACATTTAATTATTTATTCATCAAAATGTCAAACCTTGAAACCTTATGGAAACCAGATCCCTTAACTCTCTTAATGACAAATAGATTAAGCAGTCAAAAGGTTCACAAGATTTCACCACTCGTTTGATGTCACATTTGTTTTATGTCAAATGATACCGCAAACATAATTCATGACAGAGAACAAACAGCATGCGTTAAAAAAATCACTTTGTGACAAATCACTTCTCAACTCTCGTCGTTCGTTCTCAATTACCTATCTATTTATAAACATAAATGAGCTAGCTCAACACTTTATAAAACTTTTGAAAACGCTTTGTGAGACAATCGATTAAGTTTTTTCTCTTTTAAAAAAGTAAAACAACATAAATATATGATTTGAAGTCGTTTCTGACGAATAGCAAATCGGTTTTTAATATTTTTAAAATAAAACAAAATTTATTATCATCGTCAGTTTTTAAAATTCACTCATAAATATGTTTGACGAAAGCTTAAATAGCCAATTTCAAATTCGTCAAAATGTAGACGAACAATTGAAACAAATTAATTGCTGAAAGTATTCAACAAAGACCACGAGTAAGGCTTTCATCAATAAGCAGAAGCAAAAGAGCTTAAAACTTTTCAATTTTGACGCTTCAAGAGTTATAATGAATGCTTTGGGAATAAAGCACTGACCAACTATTGTTTGCTTACGTACATGTGAAAGCCTAAAAGAATTATGATCCTACCGAAGGTCATAAACTCTCCTAAAGTAGTCAATATCAAAATTTTTATTTGCCTCACCTCAACTCAACGAAGTAAGTTTCTTTCTAATGACTTACTTATTCAAATAATTTTTATTCTCAAAAATCATCTATCAATATGTCTTTTGACATCAAAAGAAAGGAAAAAAAAGATCTTTGAGCGGCATCACGGCATTTGATCAATCCTATCAAAATGAGAATTCTAAACCTCTTTTCCCCTCTTCATGAATGTAAGAATTATTTGTGGCTAATGGAAGCATAATTATTTCAGATGCCATCAAGTGATCGTTAATGTTAAACTACATTTCTAACTTTGTGATTTGTTTAACTGTGTGTGAGGAAGAAAGAGTGAGAGAAAAAAAGCAATTAATCAAAATTATTTGTCGTTTTGTTGATACTTTCATTGATGATGATTTTTTGTTTATGATTTACTTCTCCTTTTTCGTCCGTAAGATAGCGCGAGATTGTTGTTTGAATGCCTTTGGGAGCACATGTAGCGCGTTTCTTGCTCCCATTCTACGCCAAAAACTTTTGTTGTGGCAAGCCATTTATCATCTAGCAAGTCGTTTTAAATTTACATTCCGCATTCAATTGAATATGAAAAAAAAGTAGCTTCACAAGCAAATAATGTTTTGACTCTGGTAAAGAAGAAGCTTCCGACTTTGAATGAAACTCGTGCAATTGAAACCATCAACTTGAGTGGATACAAATAAGTAACAGCGATGGCCATTTCGATGTGAATAATTTCCATATAGCCCTTTGTTGATGTTTGATTTTGCATTTTCATGGCATTTTGAGTTTAATCAGATGAAAAGGGTCGAAAAAATAAAATTCGCTTTCAAATGAAGAAAGCGGAGGAAAAAACTAATTCGCTGAAAGACTCAAAGGTTATCGGAAAGGTTTTTCTTTTCGGATTCATTTTATAAAGTGTCCGAATGGATTTGCATAATGCAACTTGATATTTTCTGATCCCTTTTGGAAGATTCATGAAAATACGATGATAATCAATAACAGTAGTTGAAACATAAAGGAAGCGTTAAGAGCTCGATTTGGGTCGGTATTGATGTGAAAGGTCGACTGACAAATGTGACTGAAAACATCTCCTATTTTTTCCTTTTACTTGATTGTTTTGCAAGAAAGGATTACTTTAGGTACCCTTCCTTGTGATGACAGAAATCTTGTTATGATCAAAAAAAGTTGCATGGTTTTGATTGTATGAATTTTGTGTGTGATAAAATAAGAAAACAAATATTATCGATGATTTCTTATTTTTTCTTTTATTCGATGAATAAATATAATTATTCAAGAGAACATCTACATTTATGTATGTATATTAAAGTAACTTCCGCATAATAATCATATTACTAAGTAACTTTATAATTAAAGTATACACAAGATGTTACTGAATAATTATGTAAGAATTTTTGTGACACGATGAGAAAAGTTCTCTTGCAAGTTGTCTGTTCTGAGAAAAGTCTCATTTATTTGTACTTCACCTTTTCACCTTCTCACAGTTAGATTAAACTCTGTCATAACAAACATTTATACATGAACATAGTTTTCATACTTCGCCCTATTTTATTTCTTTCTTTTCTTTTTTCACTTTTTTCTCATGAATATAGTGCGAAAGTTAGTAATAATATTTAAGAAAAAAATTGATAAGCTTTATATCATTAATTTATTATCAGAAGATCCAATTATTTCATCGACGCTAAACCCTAGTTTACACTCTGAGACAGTTTTCGACGCGGGAACCCTACTTCCTACACAGAATAATCTATGATCTTATTAAATTCAAATCAGTTCTTTCCTTGAAAGTGATGAAAAGTAAAAACATCATTTAAGACAAGGGATAGATATCCTAACAATTAAAAAATTAAAAAAATACCGAAATAAATAAATATTCATATCTTTTCTTATGCTTTCTTTGTTTAATTTTTTTAATTTATGTATGCAATTCTTATTTTTCTGAATTTCAAATCATTTTTGTATTATTTTTGGAGTTATTGATTTTCTTCTCAAGACTGGAGTATTAAACTATATCAAATAAAATATCAAACCATTTTAAGCGTTTGAGATATTTTTACTCCAAAAACCAGATCATTTTCATTTATTACAATGCGTCATTCCATTTCCAAACTCGTTTTTTTTGTTTATACAATGATGAGCAATTAAATTTTTCACTAAGTTTGTGTACATCGGTGCGAAGAATAAAAGTGATCAATTTTAAAGAGTATTCTCTCTTTAAAGGGGAAATTATTTGTTGATTGATATTTTACGTATGTGAATATTTTCGAAAATTTTTGGAGTGTAAACAAAGCGCCTACCCCATAAATCTGATCAATGATTCAATCAGGCAACATACAAAGTATCTCATAAATTTTTCATCGAAAGAGATTTTAGCACTACAAGCACATTGGAATCACCTCAAGAATGATTTCATGTTATGTCTACGTGTGTACTTTTTGCGTCATTAAAACATATAACGTCTTTTTTACTTACTTGGCATGTATATATTAACTTAGATATCTGCACCGAGCGATTTACGAAAAACTAAAATGATGATAGATTAAGAACTTTTTGAAAACTTTTATTTTCTTTCAACGAATTGATCATAAATTAGAACATTGATTACACCTTGAACAAAACCATCTACAAAGTTTCATGATTCTTTTTTCTGACACGAAAACGAAAAACAGAAAAAACTTAATCAAGAGCTTTTCGATGTGACCCTTCTCTCTTTCTCTTTTCCTCTTCTTATTTTCTCTCTCTCTCTCTCTCTATGTATATTTAACTTCTTTATTTCCTTGCGTATTAACTCATTACAAATATTCCATTTTTCTCTGATCAAATTCACAATACAATGATGAATTAAATTACAATTAAGATAAACGTCACAGAGAAAATAAAAACACATTAATTTATTTCTCTAAGGTTTTAATTCGAGGGACTGATAAGGTATATAATATTATATGTGTTTGCATGATCAAAACGTATTCAATTATTATAAGAAGATAATCTTTTGATGGTTGAATCAATTAAAAAAGAAATATAATTGCTTCGATGCCCTTTGTAGTGGAATAAATTATTGTTTGTATTTATTGAAAAAATTAAGCTTGAAACAACAATCAGCGGAGATAAGAAAATTTTTATTAGAAAATTATTGATGTTTAATTGTTAGAGCGTAGTAGTAGTTAAAGCAAGTTTCGAATTTTTAAATTTTGTATCAATTGCAAGGAAGTTATTAATGATGTTTAAGAAGTTCAATGAAAATAATTCTATTTTTTCATACGACGTGATAAAGAGCATTCCAGATATCTAGTCTTGAAGAAAAATAAAAAAAGATGTTTCGTGGAAAACGCTTGCGCAAATAAAACTGTGTTAGACAATGCTCGTGAAAATCTTAATTTTTTTCATCTTTTTTTATTTTAAAAGGAAATTCAAAGTAGCATCTTTAAAATAATTTTGAGTTTTCTTTCTGTCGCAAATTAAAAATAGAAAAAAAAAAATTGAGGGCGTATTCGAGTCACAAGATTTCCCCTGATTTTATTTTTACTATTTCAACTGTGCTCGGATGAATTTTACTTCTTGGTCATTTTACTGTGAACAAAATTTGTCTCACGCCGCTGATGAAAATAATTCTGAATGTGTATATGAAAACCCAGCTCCAAGGCTAAACGTCGCAAGAGTGTGCTCTCAAATGTTTGCTTGGAAAACGCCCTACATGCGCAACGTGATTCAAGCTACATGACGTAAAGGACATATTTATTGGTGACAATTCTTTTTTCTCTCGCATACCATGTCTCGAATCGTTCTTTGTCGTTTGTCGTTCAACCAATCGCTGATTACTATCGTATTTTCTCGCACGAAAAAGATTTAGTTTAAATTCCATGGTTACTTTGATCATTTTTCAGTAATAAGAACCTGAAAACGATTGTTCAATGTCTATGTCACATCATTTTTATAATACATTTTTCAATATTTTTTCATCTTAAATATTTATATATTTTTAATAGAGCAAGTGGATAGTATTAAACATGCACACACACTATGATAAAAATGAATGAGAGAAAATAATTTCATCGAATTTTAAAAAAAACGTTGAAGAGAGTATGTTGCTCTGATGTTGTGCTCATGAAATAAAGACAGATATTTAGTTGCGCAACATAGAGAAAACAAAATTTTACAATTCGAGGCAATGTTAATTTTGTTTATTTACGATTATTGAATCCTTTAATATTTTGAGAGAACGTCCTTGTAATTTTGATATGTATAATTTAAAACTAGAGCAAGTTATTGTGTATATATTTAGTAGACATAAAATATATGTATATGCTCAAGGCAGACGTATTATTTCTTATGACTTTTTTTTTCATTTAGCTACGAAGACGAGAACTCTTTTTCAAACACATATATAAGCGAACAATGGTGCTTCCGAGGTTTTGAATTCATGGAATAGTTTATTTTCTTTTTACGAAAATATACAAGCTACTTATGTAAATTGAAAATGATGAGAAAGATATTGTTTAGGATATCTAAATGAAAGATAACAGAATAAAGTTTAAAATTGGTGTTAAATTTAAACCTTAAAGTTTCCTAAGAACTTAAAATTAATTCCAAATTTTAGAAATTCAGAGTTCAATGATTTCATCGTCTTAGGATGAAATTTAATTGTTAATTTTAGAATGAGAGAAAAAACATAAATTAGTACAACTGATGAACCAAACGATGATGCAAGTTTATTTCCAAAATAGCAGATGAAATATTTTCTGTCCGATATCTAAGTTTATAAGAAAATCAGACTTTCTTTCTCGCTCATGTTAATATTCTGTTTCTACTCAGAACTTTTTTATGAACCTAAGATCCAATGCATCGAATTATTTAGATTTTTTTACAAGTTTAAAAAAGTTCCTCGGGACCATTCGAAATTTCATTTATTCTAAAAAAATCTAAGTTCAAAATCAAACAAAACATTTGATCAAACACATCATAATTCAATCTTTTAAGGTAATGCAACTAGTTAGGATTAAAAACATATATATATTGACTTAAATAGACATCAATTCCTAACTAACATATTATTAACTATAAAAATCACACTTCCAAATCGATAGCGTTTGAAATATTGAGCTTTTTTTTAAGTCACTCTTCTAAATTGAATTATAATTAAAGTGTATTTAAAACATCCAAAGACAGGAAATTCTTGTTATCCGCATTGCGCAGTGGTTCATAGATCAACTGAACGATTCGAAACATTTTAATGATGGTGATTAATGAGCCATATGGCAAAAATAAAAAAAATAATAATTCGTCATCAATTAACGTCAAACGGTTTGTGAATTATTGAGCAAATTGGATTTTTAATAGAAAATCGAATCGATGCTCAAAAATGGTGATTGTCGACTTATGTTTGATGAGCAATGTGAATTCAAAATGAACTTTTTGGATCTGGTATCGTTCAAATATCGGCTCGATACTAAATTATTTTCTTGATTTTGATTTTTGACATACGAAACTCTCTTGAATTAAAATTTTCAATAAAGATAAGTCATCAGAACTGGTCTACATCATTATTATGTTTCTTCGAGAGAAAATTGTTTATTAAAGTATACAAGAAGTTGAAAGTCGTATTTCTAAAAATATAATAAGTGGTTAAAGAAGCCATATGGCTTTATGAAAAAGTTTCACAAAGGTGATTTCGTCTTCTGCCGGATTTAATACACAGTGTGGCATTTTATAAAATCTGTAAGATTAACAAAAGAATTGTTATTGTCACTTATGAATTATGTTGAGAAAACAATTTTGTGTTATGAGTGCTGAACAAGAAGCCTTCTTATCAGGTCAATGAGTAACTTTTAACTTTGATAATCTGTCAATAGGAAAATTCCTTCGACATTTTAGTTGAATAATTAAATTTTCAATTAATCGTAAAGATACTCAACAAGGAAATAATTGAAAATGTCACGAAAGTTGTTACATATAAAGTATCTAATAAATTTAAAAACATTTCACATGAAACTGATATGATTATTTCTTCAACGTATGCTGAAGTACTTAAAGGCCAATATGTCAATTTAAAATTCAATTCTTGACGATGTCTTTCACAAGAAAATGTTTAATGAAGAAAATTTTCAATTTAGCTTTTTTTTTTGTCCTTTTTGTTGACTGCTACAACCATCGATGTTATTTTTGATTGAAATGCTATCATTACCTCATGAAATCATGAGTACAATTGGAAGAAGGGAAATAAAATTGTTCATTTCCAATTCCCATAAACGCCTCACGAAACGCACACAAAGTGGATTGGAAAAATGTCAAAATGATATATCAAATAAAACAGCAACATCGTGTATGGAAAAAGACGAATTTTTGCGATTACAAAAGAGAGATTCGGTCTCCGAAACTAAAATAAATAAATAAAATAAAAAAGAGAAAAGAAACAAGAACGTGAAATTATAGAAATTATCAAATTGACAGACGGTTGAAGGCTTGCGTGATATTATTTTTATACTTGTGCTGCGATGAGCCAGAACCGATATAAATTAAATAAAATTACTATTCTGTGAACACATTTATTGGACGAAATCGATTATCATGTGGTGACGACGACAATCCGACAGTAAAAATATTTTTCTAAAGTTAAAGAGCGTGCTTTTATTTCGTCTGTTGGATGATTTCTGTGCTGATGGTACAGCATAACGGCTTTCAATTTTCTCTCTTTCTCGCACCATTTCTTGAGATGACATTAAAAAAAGTCCAAGCTCGTTAACCGATCATTCACGAAATGTCTACGTTGACAGATGAAATTTTATGTCGTTTCTTCCCATTAATCACTATCACTTCATCGCTTGCTGCTTGATGAGTGCCTACATTCACATTCGACATTTTTCTCCTCGTTTTACTCCCATCTCAATATTGACCTAATTAAATTTTTGAAATTTATGTGTCAGCTAAGAGTTGCTTGCAATAAAATAATAACAACAGCCAAGAAATATTTCATTGAAATCACTTTTATGTGATTGGAAATGTTACAAATTTAATTTAGGTTTATAAGTTAAAGACGTAAGTAGCATCTTTGATATTTTTTTTAATTTTGTTCTCATTTTCATCAGTTATTCGATTTTGATGAATATCAACGAATTTGTCAAGTTTGAAAAGGTTTCACTACATAATGTAGATAGATTCATGTTCATCTCATTTATTTAAAGTGCACTAAATATCGTTTCAGTACGATTGTAAATTATAATAAAAAATGTAATTCTCATCGATATTTTAGAAAAAGTTGCATTTATTATTGGCATTCGATTTTAGTCTGCCTTTTGCTACTATAACCGCGAAACTTGTGATAAGTTAAAGGTTAATTTACCGGCAAATTGATTTTCTCTCTCGCATGAAACAACTACTCAAACCAAAAACCACTTATTGTTTTGGTTTCTTTTAAAGGTATGACGTAATAAATTTTGCAGTATAAAACCGGTTAATTATTACACTAACATCCTCATCTTGAATGCGCCTAGTTAAGTCGGTTGATTTATTGTCTCTAGTTCGGAAAGCATTTCATCACTAAAGACGCGCTTTCCGATTTAAAAATTAAGAATTGATGAAAGAAAAGTTGTGCGCCTATTAGAGAATCCAACAATTTTTATAAATATATTATAATTAATAGTTTCTTTTGTGTCGTTACAAGGTCAGTTTATTTGATAGCTACTTCCAGGTTGTCCACTGAATTTTACTAGATTTCATCTAAAGTTTGGAGCGTTTTGTTGTTGAGATATCATGTTGTTTCATCCACACGATGAGTCTTGAAAAATAGCCAGAATTAAACAAGATATGAATGCATTGTAACAAAGAAAATCAACGTAAACGTTTAAGTGAACACTTAGCTGCAATATTATCATCATGCAATATGCAACATATAACGTCGTATATAAACAACAGAATTGTGTTTTAAACTGATTTCCTTTGACTCGAAAAAGTTGTTAAGGTGATATTAACCCGTCAAGATCAGGTCGTTTTCAAAAAAGGATGATTTGGAATTTTAATTCATTTTAAAAGAATTGTTCTCAGGCCCTCTGCTAATGCAGTGACCGATCACTTATTCTGACAAAAATATCGAATAGAATTTACTTATTAATCACTTCTTGTTAAATTCTAAATTTATTTTTATAAACTTTTAAAATTGAGAATAAAATTATGCTCAAAATTTTTCATACCATGAACGGACCGGAGTAAAACTTTAAATTCTTTTGCATGCCGGGAAACATAAACGATGTACCATGTAGACGTAAGGCTATTAATATGACATTTTTATTTAAGATTCTCAAAGTTTTAAAAACACAAAAACAAAAAAACGCCCTTTTGTCTGGGTTCATTTTTTCAAACGAAAAGATATGCGAACTTATGTACGAATCAAGTAAGTGATTCAAAATGAGTTATTTATAGTCTGCAAAACTTTCCTAAGAAGAGATAAATTTAAAGGGTTGCACTCAAAGATTCTTCCTTGAAACTAATTACTTAAAGGCAAGTTGAAGGAGACCCTTGCAAAACTTATACAGCACAGCGTTCAAATTGTTGCTAGCTCATGATTTCATCGTGTATCTGGATTTGAATTCGTTAAAAAAGGTCTCACGGAGGAAGTAATTCCCCGCCCAGAGATTCAAAATGTGATGTTGAGCCATTTGGAAAACTTACGAGAAATTTGTGCATCTTTATGCATCATCATTCCTGTTATTAATTAATTTTTTTATCAGGTGATACATTGCGTATTATCTTCGTCATATTTTGTTTTCTTTCATTTCTCTTTATGTCCGTTCATACGAAGTTTTCCTTTCAATGTTAAATCTATCCATTGAAATCTACCACTGTGCCTTCTTAAGTTCTTCATTTCTTAAATTGTTCAATATAAATAAAAATTCCAAACACAAATATTATTATTCGATCCTGAAAATTGATCCTCTATTTATCCATCAGTTAGATTATTAGAAATCGGATGAGAGAAGAAGCGTAAAAGCATTTTTAAGATCATCAATTCACATTGTGTCATATTTACGGTTGAGTTGAATAGTTTTTTCGATTTTCAATGATTGAAGTGCAGTTTTTTTTTCCAATTGCATCAGCAATAACAACTGACAAGGTTTTTTATGTCCTTTCCAAAAACTCCGCCTTTTGTCAGATCTTTTAGGGAGAGAGGGACACAAAAGAGACCCTGAGGATTAAGGATGTCTTTAAAAACATCATTTTTTGTAATTCGAGATCTGTCTATTGTCGTTATTCATCCTGCCATGAAATTACTATCCTGCAAAAAAACTAAAATAAATATCAAAGACCGACATCTTCGAAATCCTGAAAGTATCAACTTTGATTTTGAACAAACTGTCAACGAGATTGTCAACCATTTCTGTAAAAATGTCGCATCAGGAAAGCAACCAATAGTAGTTGAAAGTTTCATCCTAGTTTTGAAACTAAAGCTGTATATAAAATTTATTTATGAGACTCATTCTGAAGCCATCTGTTTTAATGACAGATGTTATTGACATCATCTTTTTGGTTTTATAGAAAGCGGGAAGGAATTAATATTGTAAAGCGAACGATCATCGGCCATCAACGTTTGTAGATAGGTATCGTCGATCATGAATTATTAGCGTTCACTTATAATGTTCGTAATTTAACCATCAGACGACCATTTGTTATCGTCGTAGGATCAGTCACAGGGTTTAAAATAATAGGAGAAAATTTGTAAAATTAGAACTTTTGTGATGTGTCGTTTGTCTTTGGGTTTGAAAAAGTTTTCATTATGAAGTGAAATACCCCACTCAATAAATAATATTAATCTGAATTATGGCTATTAAGAGACATTAAAACTTTAATTATAGTTTAAACAGAAATTTTCTGGAACATCGAAAATAAAGGTAGACGAAAGAGAATAACAGATGATGATGATTCAAACATATTTCATCGTCGTAGCTAATAAATGTAAAAAAATTATTGAAATGTATTTAATTACCTACTCAAAACATTAATATGAAGTTTAAAATGTTGACTCGTGGATTTGCAAACTTTTTCAGACAATCAATTTTTGACTTTGAAAGTTAAAATATTTGTAATTGACATGCAACTGGTAACGAAATCTCATCATCAATTATTAATTGATTGTATTGTGCATCTAAATGTGTAAATTTAACTTGAGTTAATGTTAATTTGCCGCCATGGAGATTTTTATTCTGCTGAATAATTATCAAAGTAAATATTTGTATTTCTTAAATTTTACTCAGTTTTATGTGTCGAAAACAATTGTGGGAGATTTTCAACTTCCCTGCCATGCCAATACTGATTTTAATTAATGTCTTAATAATAGTCGACATCCAATCGAACCTAACACAATTACCGAATGATAAATATATGAAATATAAATTCTAATTGAATCCAGATCTTCCTACATGCTTTCATGTATAATTTCTCTTGCTAGAGTGCTTCAAAAGCTGAAATTTATTGCTCGAATTAAAATTGATAAAGGAAATAAATTTTCCATTTAGTGATTTTTTTTTGTTTGTTCTAAATTTAGTCTAGTCTTATGAAGAAAAGTTAGAGAGAGAGCTAAACTATTGACATATGCACATATTTATAATGTAATCGAAACTATCCGAAACTAATTCATGGAATAAATTGTAGAAATGCTTCTCGTGCTTACCTTTTTCATGTTTTGATTACGATTTTAAGAACAAAGTTAAACATAAATAAATCTTTAACCGTAATTCTTATGCAATATGTATGTAGATGTACAATAAACAGCAACGTTTTTCTCAATTCCATGAGCCGTAACCGAAATCAACTTTAATCGAATTTAGTTGGATGTGTAATTTTGGATACTGGATCGTGGTTTATGCTTCGGTTTCTGCATTTTCTCTGCTCGACCTCTTCGAAGAAAAAGTCCACGAAACGAAGAATTATTCTTCGTTCTGAATGGTTCTCTTGGTAGATTCATTTGAACACCAAACAAGCTACTGGACTTGGCGGCAATAACATAAATGTTTGTGTATCAAATCAAACTACCTACAGCAACATCGCTGTGATGTCTAATGTTCTGTTTGTTTTTGTGACTGTCTCTATGTGTTTTCTTTACTCTTGTCTCGCAGCGACTGTTTCTTTGTCGTTAAAAATAAATTCTCTAGACATACTAATAGAAGAATAAACATCTCAACTCCCGAAGCATAATTAGCAGTTGAGTTTGATCAAGGATTTTACATTGTTGATTCAGGAATAAATAAATGAGGGTAACAGAGTTTTTCAACCAACATTTGCTTACGTTTCTAATTAAAAAGTTTTCTTTGTTCAAGGAATTTTCTATACCGATTGAGTGCCACTTAACGTTTGAATCCCATTTTGAATCTTTCACAAGATTTTTGATTTATTTGATGAATTATAAATCACTCAAAGACTTCATTTTCAAAACGACAAATATATTTGGGAAACAACAATTTACCATTCACCTTCTCTCGTTCACAAGTCTCATTGTAATCTTTGCTTTTTCAATCAAATCAATGTTATATTTTAATCGAGGTTGACCTTTTTCTCAGTTACTCTTTTTTCTCCATCCTTTTGTCCACCGAAAGAATAATGCAATTGAAAGAGTGGGATGGCTTGCATGAAATATTTTAGCGCAAAACATTCTTGCAGATTCGACCAACACAGCACAATACAATACGCTATGAAACATAATGGGTCTTTTTGATCATATTTTGACTTTAATCTTTCTTCTTTTCTTTCGCTGCACATATTCTTATGGTATGCGCGAATATGACCAGGCAAAGGCGATCATTATTGTCGGTTTTCGGATACACATTCGGTGGAGCTCATACATATAATAAGACTGTTTATTAAAGAATAAGAAAAAGAGAATAAAAAAAATCAGATTATCCAAAGCTTGAGGCTCGAGCATTGACGCAAGGTTTTTGTTATCATTTTATGTATCAAGCAGTTACAAACTTAATGTCATTACGATCAAAAGCATCTTATTTTTATGATTTTAGAAGAAAACGTTCATTCAACATTAAATTAGTTATCATTATTTCATATAATAATTCAACTTTAAATGATATTGGCTAGAACATGTTACAAAGATTGCTTTTGAAGTTAAATTTGTGCATTTATCTAAATGAAAAAAAGGAAAAGAAAAGAAGTATCGCATTACAAATTGAAGAACCTAAAAATCAAGCTAGCTTGAGTGGATTTGCTGTCTCCTCTTTCTATCGTGATTTCCGAGTATCTTGCAATATAAAAATGAAATTTTATTGTTTTAGTCTAGGCAGATTTTGTTGTATTGTTTTTCACGCCGATGTGAATTTCTCCCTTAACAATATTATAACGTTGGTAGTCATTTTCATCACCGCAAGCAATGAACAAGAGAAAAATTGATGTCAGTGCTTAAGAAGATGAACGACAAAAGCATAAAAATGAACTTTTGAAAGGTGGTAGATCAAAAAAAAAAGAAAAATGCTGAAAAAGAACGGATAGCAATAAAGCAATTTAATGTGATGTGTTCAACAGCAATTATTTGTGATGATTTCTCCCCTCAGAGTTCATTGTTTCTGTCGATGTGCATTTGACATGGAACCTTTTTTTAAATGAAATGATAAAGAGAAAGTGGTCCCTAACAGAATCTGAACAATTGTTTATCGACAATATTACACTTGTTGCAGGACAATCATTGGTGTCATGGAAATAATGAGAAAATAATAAAAAAAAAGATTAAAACACTGAAAAAAGAATAATTTAGGATACAACAAAAAGTTTTTTGATGCGCATCAACATGAAATCTTTACTAGGAAAATTTTTTTTATTGTCACGATAATTGTTTTAACTTGCCGAAGAAGATTCTAAATTATTCCAATTCGCATCATTTTTTCTCAGTGTAATGAAGCAATATGAGCAATCACCTTTCATACATCATTTTTATTGAATATCTACAGCAAGCGTGGAAATTTTCGCAATTTCGAACTTGACTTCAAGGTCAACATACAAAATTTTCAAGGGAAATCAACAGAAAACCACAAAGGAGACACTGTTTCCTTTTCAGTTACCAAATGTTCAATATCACAATTTAAAAATTAAACTCATTATTTTGACGATTCGAAGGCAGCTCATTTTTAATGTAATGCTTTTTTAAAAAAAATTCTTCGAAAGAGGACGTGAAATGAAAAGAGCAATATATGATTTGTGTTCTTTGCGGTTTTGTCTTGGCCATAATTCTTGTTGATCGCTGCCGAAAGTATATTATTATGTGTCATTTTCAAAAATTGAAAACTTCTTTGGTGACTTATGGCTTGTTATCAGAAAACATGATTATGGTTTTCGTTTCTTCTTGAATCATCTTCAAAAAGGCATTCATTTCAAATTACCAGAACAGATTTTGTTTAGAATTGATTGCGTATTTCGCTCAATGAATAAAAAAATGATTTGCTTTCATTTTATGTTCGCGTTAGCTGTTGTAAAAAGTTGAAAGAAAAATTGCGATAACTAACAAAAACAACCCAAAAATTATTTCACGAACAAAGCAAAGCAACTAAACGTCAAAGGTCATTATTAAAAATGGCAGATAAAACAAAAATTAAATCCATGTTTACAAAGTGAGTATGTTTAATTAATTCAACTATGCAATTGACATTTCTACAATGCATGAAAAGATGAAATCCCTGAATTCTTGCTTGAAGAGTTAAGCCTGCTTTTGTCTTTTCTCGTTTCAGAAATGGTCGATAAAAATACTTCAAACCCTTTTAAATCTTTGTATATTTATTTGGAATATCTCAGAGGGTTATTAAAATTTAGAATTAATGAACGATGTCATGTTATTCTTTGAATAGAATTTCTCGATGCTGATGTTTTTCACATAAGTTAAAATCTAATGAAAGACAATGAACAATACTGTAATGATATTACTAACCACTCGAAACAGCGAAACAGAGAGGGTTGTATCAAACTATATACATACACCCTCCATTTAAAAAAGGATAAACATTTAGAGATTTTATAATAATCATTATGAAATATATTTAGATTTTTCTTGTACATCAAAATGGCAGCTACATTTAGTAACTAAGGTTTTTTATACGGAATCAGCAGCTGGTTTGGGATGCGTTTCAATGACTTCACAAATCGCACGCTCACCCCTTTCAATGATGATCATGTTCGCAATCCTGCAACATGCAAACAATGTTGATAAATATTTATAAACAGAAGTTGCATGAAAACTTGTTAATCGTTGAAAAACGTGACTAGTAAGGGAAATGTTTGAATAGATGTCAAAAATGGAATCAATGTTTTAAATCTTAGTTTCATCAAGAATTAATCGAAATTTGTTTTATTCCTACAGTGGAAAGCAACGTGAAAATTTCGTTAAGCAAACAAACAGCTGGTTTTCTGAGGCATCGAACTATAAGCAATGTGTTATAAAAGTCTTCTAAGAAAATCCAGTAAAACACATCTAAAGAGGAGAAAAACGTATATTTATTAAACTGCATACGTTCGAACAAGTTTAATGCTTGCAAGTACTTATACTTATTTATTTAAGTTACTCTGACCGATGTAATGTTACACTTATTTTCTTTCTCATAAAATCTTTGCTCTCAAAGAATAATTCTCCTAACTGCTTATTGCATGTTTTCAGCTTACCAAGTCAAGTTGGAAAGTGAGACTGTTTTGAAAGTTTCCTATTTTTTGCAACATGTTTCGTGCACGTATCGTATGGCAAAATAATGACAAAAGATGTTTGTAATTTGATGATGAATAATTTAGTTTATCTACAATTTTCAAGCAGATAAATATAAATAAATAAAAAAGGTTCTTTTGTGAGATATGATTTCATGTTAGATATTTAGTTCACCTTCGCTAATTAATCTTGCAATTAAATGAATCTTTTGATTACATTAAATCGCTTTATAATTAAAATAAAGGACGAATATTACAAAAACATAATTCTTTATCGTAAAATTTATATCATCCCCATTGAAACAGTACTTTCAGTCATAACTTTTAGTGCTCTATTTATTGGTTTCGAATAAATATCGTAATAACTGTTTAATAACCTCAGAATCTCATTAAATATTCACTCTGAATCAATCATTTCGCTGGGATCAAAATTGAATTTAAGTGCGATAAAAATAAAAAAAAACTTCCTTTCGAGGCCATAATATGTGTGGATTTATTTCAACCAAACAAAAGTGGGTTGCAAGTAAATGATTCACTTTACGTATCTTCATAAGTACATAAATCGAATCATTCGCGAAATAATCGCGATATATTTTTTTTTCATTAAATTTGATTGTTTCACAATTATGCTTCATATCCAATAATTTAAGTATGTAAAGTGAAATATATCTGACGAGAAGTATCGATGAAAATAATCAGAAGGGAATGAAAATTATTGGCGAAATTCTTTGAGAATTCTTTGTATAATAAATATTTCTATTCTTTCTCAAAAATCATTATCATTCGAATATTAAATGTTTTTATTGATAGATTAATAGGAAATTGAGTCATGTTGAAAAGTGATCTAAAGTTGCAGTAACCGCAACCATGAGTCTTATCTTAACATCTCTTATAAAGTCTTCACATATTGAACAACAAAAAAATTGCAATGAAATGTTGTAAGCATTAAATGTTTTAATTAAAAAAATTAAAAAAACAGATAAACTGCGTGTTGTAACATTTTATTGCAACCTTAGTCGAAGAAGTTATTCGACTAAGTATTTGGACATCAATGGAGTTAAAAAACTGATTTGTAGTAAAAAATGAATACGCCATAAATACACTAAACAAATTTGCGTATATACATTAGTACATACATTGGCTATATGCTTCTATAACATAAGTAATTGATGCTTCCGTTATAAAAATTTCCATATAAATATTTATTGATGTTAATGTACGTTTTTTTGAGTATGAGCTGTTTGTGTTCAAAAATATTCAACATTTTCTTTCTTCGTTTACTTCCACGATTCCTTCTTCCCCTAAAAAATGAAATAAACGACCGGCGACAAGTAATGTAGAAATAATAATTTGGATGAAAAATGACCGGAGATTAGTTTTAAGTTAATGCGTTTGTAGCCACAAAAAAGCAGAAAAAGAAGTAAAAACAAAGTTCGGCGATTTAATTTAAAATATCTTTTCGAAAAACATTTTACTGCCTACAGTTTATGATATTGAAGATACAGCGATTAATGCAATTTTGCGTGTTTGTTTGCTTTTAAATCACAATTTTGTGTTTTAAGATTGTTTTCATTCTTCTGTTGTTCGCAGACATTCATTTTTAGTTAATTGGAAAACCTGTTGTGAATAAAAGACGCTAATGTCATACTTTTTCAAAGGTGGCTCAATTCACCGTCTGATCAACATTTCCTACTGTACCAAAATTGAAAACATGCACGTATTGATTCTTTCTTACATTTATGAAATTAATACATAAATTAAAAATGGAATTAGATAATTTGCATGTTGCAGATTAGAAGCGAAACATAAATGCCTAAGAGAATAAAGCATACTGATATACACGGCTTATTCCAATCCGTGAAATTGTTTCCATTCTGGCTGTTGCTTATTTTTGTGTTTATTTTTCATATTCGTTGATGATATTTGTAAATGTTTTTGGGTTGAGTTAACTGTCTGACTGTCTATAAATATATTTTTCACTCTACAAGACTTTTTGCAATATTACTAAGTTAATATAATTAATGACAAAATTTCATTCTTCAATTGATGTTTACCTTATTTTATATTAATATCATTTAGATGGCAAAATATCCAGTAAATGTGTAGCAACCAATTTGTAATCTGAGTATCAATTATAAATGAAAGCAATATGAGGAAATATTGACCAGCTTCGTGTGCATCAAGATTTATAAAATAAAAATGTATGAAGACTCATGTATCATTAAAACTACCAAGTCAATTCGCGTCAAGCTTTCGAGCGATTGTAGTATACCACGATGTTTCTTTTTCATTTCCTTTTGCTTTGATGTGTTGTTTTTCAGCTGCTTGTGTGCCAAAGGTAAAATGCGATAAGTGCCTTCAACTAAACCGTATACAACACGATATTGTCTCTTCACTTTCCACGTAATAAAGTGAATGAAATATGCAAGAGAAATGAATTCATGTGCAACTTTAGTAGAATGGCGAAGGAGGTGTCTCTATGCACAACAATCTACTAACATAAACATCAATTATTACCCTCTTGTAATAGCAAAGTCTCATTCTGTATTGTCAGAGTTGTTTCGTTAATATTGCAATTGGGAAGGAAATAAAAATGAGGCAACATGTTTAGAACATTAGATTCAAGGATTCAAGTCGAAGTAATAAATCTCTGATGGTAATTCTAATGATATTAAAGAGTTATTCCTTTAATTTACCAAGTTTGAATGCAAAAACAGGATAAAAAGCCACGCCTGGACGGTTACTTTATGTGTCATCGTCACGAAAACTTATCAAATTATAGTTAATGTTACTATTTATGCACATTTGCAATTTTAAATCATCAATAAATTATCTTCTGGTCTATAAATTCGTTTTTATGGAAATTGTTCTGCTTTAGAAGATGTTTCGAAAAATTAAAAACATTGAAAGATTTGTAAATTATTTTGTCGCCATAATCAGATATTATAAGTTATTATTTAACATAATGTTAATTAACATTCTCCCAAAAAAACATCCCATTACTAAATTGTTAAAACGTTGCACAAATGCAAAAACATATCTAGTGAATTTATGTAAAATTTCGCAAAGGTAGAAAAGAAAATTCTGATAAATTTGCAGAAATTTATTTTCCATTTTCCTTGCTTTGTTTTCTTAGTATTTTGCATTTAATTTATTTTCATTCTTTTTCTTTCTAGCGATAGGTTTGAAAATCGTGGAAAATAACCCTATCCAGAAACACATCAACTTTGGAAAATTCATGCACAAAGCGTATGAGGGGAAAATTAACATACATATTATCGCTTTATAAAAACAACTTTCAACCAAGCGATGGGAGTTTATAGTTTATGAAAACTTACAAATTGTCGAATGTCACGCTACGTTATTTATTATGAAGCCTTTTGTTCTAGGTGTATATAAATTGAAAACATCTTTAAATCATCGTCTCAACCTTTTAAATCTAAATCAGTTCGTTAAAATATATCCATAAGCAAGGATCGATGAAATTTATTTATAAAATCAATTGATTATTGAATTCTTATCAATCTCAAGTAAATTTGAATACAATAGCATTACGAAAGCATTAAGATCTTGTCTACCTTTCAATTTTCAAGTTGATATTTGCTTAAATAGAAGTTGCCATTTGACAAAATTGTTAAGAAAATTAATTTCCGCTTATCATTGATTATTTTTTTCGTAACAATTGCACCGCGAGCTTGGAAAAATTATGCAAATATCAGACCATCATATTTAATTACATCAGTCAAACAACTGAAAGCATAAATAAATTGCTACAATGAAATCAAATTGTTTATTTGCTAAACAACTTTACTTAAGTTCGGAGTTTTTTTTTATCCATCAATTTGAAATTGCATTTTTAAAACTTTAAACGCCAACAAGCAAAAGGAAAACAATTTTATTGCAATTTTTTGAATTGTAACAAATTGCAATTTACAAACGGCAGTAAGTAATTGCACACACATTTTTATTTGTTTCAACAATGGAGAAAAAAATAAAAGAAATCGTTTTCCAATACCAAATGTTAATGAAATAAATAAAAGTTAGTTCAATTTTTGCGCATAGAAAAAAAGAGATTTGACGCACGATATTGAAGCAACTGCGGTCGATAAACTTCACTTGTGAAATTAAAAAAGCACCTGAAAGATAATTAATGAAAATACGTACAAACTGCAGTAAGAATTATCGAACCCAATCGAATCAATATGCTTTTTTCTTGTCGGCTATTATCGTCAGCCTTAACTAAAGTAATAGTAGTTGGAAACACAACTCTCATACAAATGGATCCCGTGAGAATGTCTTTGACTTTTTATTTTTAAAGAGTAAGTTTTATCGTATAAGGTTTCAATTGAGAGTATTCTCAATATATGTCGTTATTTTTATTCCATCCATACTGTTTTAAATCGTTTTTTGACGTGAGACTTTAGTAAACTAAATGAAATTTTGTACATATGCTTCCAAGCTAAAAGAATTCATTAAACCTGTCTTTTCCTCGCTGCATCGATTCGGAACAAACACAAGAAGAGAGTAAAATGCAATATGGTATTTACAACATGAAAGAATGCATGAAGATATTGATAAAACATATTAATTTTCAAGTTTTTCCAGTTCCCCCGGCTGCACGCTTATGTTATTCATGTGTTTTATGAAGTTATGCTTTGCTTCAAATGAAATTGCTCGCAATTTATTCACTAACAAGAAAAAAAGCCATTGAAAATAAAACTTTGATCAATCAGAACTCACAATTTATATGTCTTTGTTTTAAGAAGCTTTAACAATTTTGTATTCTTTATTCAATGTAATATTTTTTTTATAAATTTAATTTACTAAATTTATTTGAAATCATAAAATTAAAAAGAACCATTATTTATGCTAAAACCTATATGGTTTAAGTGAATCAGAAAAAAATGCTTACTTTTATAATTTTCATATGATAAAAAATTTTGGTTATCTTTAGAAACTTCGAGCCTTTACATACATAAGTTGAATTGATAATATTATCATGTCATTGGATAATTGAATGATTGAAGCGGGATGAATTGTTTAATTTCTTTTTATCCTTAAAAGTATTTCGGAGAAAAATCTATTGCATAAATATTTCCGAAACAATTTTCATTTACAACAAAATTTTAATTTGCGTTTGATGGGCGAAAAGGAAATTTTATAAATCCAGAAATTTATTAATTTCTTTCTGATTCTTTGATTTGTTCAAAAATTTACACGAAATATTCTTGTTTTATCATAGGAGTGAATGTTGCATAAATATATGTACGATAATCACTAATAATTCTTGAAATGAAATCAAATCAGATGGTATGAGTAAGGACAGAAACTTTGTAGTGGCTGCAACGAGCTTTAAATATTTCTTAATATTTTCCTTTTTGATAGAGATGAGTTTTTCTAACGTTTACACAATTTCCTCCAATTTGATTACACATACACACTTAAGATAGATTGATTAATTTTGGAACTGAGAAATTAAACCAAAAGATTCTTCGGGATATGCCGGTTATTCTTTTTTGATATTTTCGATGAGAAGGTTTTTAATTTAATACTTAGCTATCACTAATCTTAAGTATTTTTATTCTTTAACTTATGTTCTTGTTCAGTTTACTTCAATTAAATGTTCGGGAAAAACTTAAAATCTATTAATGTATAATAAATATTGCACGTTTTAAGTAAAAACTTATTTGTTATTTCATATATCCAATAGTCACATAAAAAAAGAAAATAATTAGAGAACTTCCAAATCTAACTTTAGGAAAACTTTCACAGTAGATTTTCTTCATAATTTCATATTCTTTTCCTTCTCGTAGGATATATTTATGTTTTTAGTTATACTAGTACTAGTTACTTTAAGTAGTATTAGCTTCTAGAGAGATCTTCATCATACTTAAAGAGTTTTTGAAATCAATTTAAATATAAAAGAGTTCATCGCTTTCTTTCGCGCTTTTCATATGTTTCTGATATGATTGTATGTAAAGCCTTTCTGTTCATGAAATATTCTTCAAAAACAAGTTACGGGGAGTTAATGGTGTTTTATAGAAACTTTTTGTTAGTCACGAAAGTGAATCTGAGCGTTGACAATCGCCATCGTTTGATTGCGGTGAATGCATGCTTGTGTTTAGAGGAGAACTTAAGGATGCTGGTGACTGAGATCGCGGTGTAAGTTGATTTTTTTGCGAGGATGATAAAGATGTAAAGTGGTTGAGCTGCTGTGGTAATAAATGTGATGTGAGGGCTAAACTGGGCAAACCCGTCAAATGAGGGAATAAGAATGGATTGTTTACCGCAGATTGTTGAAACTTTTGATGTGGTAAGCTCAAAAGAGTTTCTTGATAATTTTGCTGATTAACCATTCCCGGTAGATGGTTTTTCAAAGCTTCGAGCCTCATTAAGTTTTTGGGATTACCATAAAGACGTGCGAGAAGTTCAGCTTGCAATGGATTAGTAAAGTCCGAAAAACTTTTCTCGTCTGCATGATTCTGATGGGAGGCTTCAATTCTATCGCTAGTCGACAAAAGTTTTCTGTGTAAATTAAGATTCGAACTATGACGGTCACGTGATCGCTTATTTGGAAAAGCGGCATTGCATCCATCGATATTGCAAACATAATTTGACATTTGTTCATTTGGAAAATGTGATCTTGTTCCACACATTGAACATTTACTCACGCCGTTATTGTCTTCCATCAACACGCCATTTTCGCAGCATTGTGAACGATTTTCTTCATTATCAACACGTTCTGGCGTGGGTGTTCTTGAACGAGAAATTATTGGACTAGGTGAGTCATTGTTGATGAGAAAATTAAGAGGCGGAAATTGTGGACCAAGAATATTAGACCCGTTCATGATTGAATTAAAAGCTCCCGCATTATGTGAAATTTGTTCAAGTTGTCGCAAAGTGTTTGCTTGATGTAAACTCTCTAGTTCAACTTTCGTTTGTTTATCGAAGTCAGTCTCTTCTTTGAATCTTTTCACCGAAAGATTTAAAGTTTCCTCGTTAGATTCGTTATCAACATCACGTTTTTTATGCTGAGATTGCACGTCAACTTCATCACTGTAAGACTGCTTAAACTTCTTACTTTGAGGCAGAGAAATATCTTCCGGTTCTTCTTTTATCTTGGAAGCATAAGATTCATCATTGTCGTCAGACATGTTGTCATTTTCATTAGGGATCATCACTGGTGACATTGAACATTTCGTTGGATTTTGATTTTTACGCTTTCGTTTATTTGAGTGATTATTTGATGCCGAATATTCGTCTTTTAATTGATCAGTCGTTACAGATTCTTCATTGCTACTTTCATTGTTTGCCCTGTTCTCCGGAACTACATTGTCCGGCTTATTTTTCGAGCTCATACTGAAGTCTTGAGGTTCGTCATCGTGAGTTTCTCCATAGTTCTCTGATTCGGGAGTGTAATACATGTTCATTTGAGAATTTTCATCTTCCGAATCTGAACTCATTCCATTGTCAATATTTATGTGGTCAACGTCATCATCGTCGCTTTGATCATTACCAACACTCACATTATCGTTGTCAATATTTCTCGACATTCGCTTTAAAGCTTCCACACTCTTTTGTTCTTCGTAACTTTCACGTCTACTTTCATGTTGTCTTCGTTGATGTTCTTTCAGACAAAATGCTTCCATGTTATGTTTAAATTCAAGTGACGCCATTGATTGATGACGTAAATCTCCTTGTGGAAGAAGTTGAAATTGATTGAATGGATGCAATCCACCTCGCAATGGAAGTGCAGTTGGTGGTGGTAACAGCATGGGATGAGGTTGTGCACTTCGACCATCATGTGGAGAAATTTTTCTTCTCAAATGTGGTGAATGAAGTTTAGGATTTGGATTTGCACTATGACGGTTCCGAGAACGTCTTGAACTGAACATCATACTACATCCTTCGACTGTACATTTATGCATTTCACGTAAGTGCACCGCAGAGAAATGAATTTTGAGAGCACCTTTGTCACAAAATGTTTTAAAGCAAACATTACATTGAACTCGCTTCTTCCCTGTTGATGGATTTATAAATTGTGTGCCTAAATTTGGTGGAATTGTGCCCCACTGGCGCTTTGGAGGTGCTTGCGAAGAGTGAGATTTTCCCTGTTCCATTAATGGATTCTTGTTATGTGGTGGTGAACCACCATGATGTGCCATGTCTTGATTAATCTCACTCAAATGCTTTGGTATTTTATTTTTACGGCTCAGATTGAGTACATCAAGGTCAGAGTTCTTTGATAAGATGTCGTAAGGATGATGATGAGAACTTAAATCTAACCTTTCAGTATTTTTTTGTGACTGATATTCAGATTTTGATGACGTCAATGACATGGGCGCTTTGGTGAAAGCCAATAAATTAGGAAATGATTGCGCTACCAATGATGCTGCCAGTGACTGATTAAAGGAACTAGCTAGTGACATTGGCGGTAAATGAAATGGTAAATGACCCATTGATAAGTTGAGAAAATTTGTTGGAAGATTTCCGGCTGATGATGTGTTTGATGAATCAGATGCTGATGAGTTTCGTCTTTTATCTTTGCGCATTTGATGTTGTTGCTGTTGTTGTTGATGTTGATGATGTTGTTGTTGTTGAAGTTGTTGTAATGCTTCAGCACTTATTTTTTTAGCTGGCATTCCACTAGCAAATGGATTAATGTTCATTTGTTCAACCATATTAATTTTTCGAAAGTCAAATGGTTGCATATTTTGCAGTCTGTTCAATGGATGTGATGATAATTCACGTGTAGGTGATGATGCCGGTGATCTGTTTATGTTATTAATATTGCTTAAAGCATTTTGGCTATTGGGAGAGGATGAGGGGCTCTTGAAAAACCCGCTTCCCATTAAATTCGTTGTCATACCGGTTGCTAATTTTTGGTGCAATTGAGATGCGAGTTGAAGTTGAGAATGTTGCAATTGGCTCAAATGCATATTTATTGGATGCTTTGCTAAATCAGGCGATGAGATATAGCGACTTGGAGGCATAACTATACGGTATCATATTTTTATTCATGTTCCCCAATCCTTTTCATTTCAAAGCACTACACTCTCGTCTTGATTCAGTTCAATAATTCAAAAGTATTAGTCTGTAATGAAAATGAAGAGAAGAATGATAAATTAACATTTTGATGACTACAAAAATATATTACAACAGCAAGACAAGCAAGACATTGAAACTAGAAAAATGAAATTGACAAAATGTGTTCATTTAAAAAGGTGAAGATGATTTGCAGAATTCGGGAGGCTTTGAAATAAACTAAAAGTGTAAGAAGAAAAGCGTTAAACAACAGCATATGTTTTATTTTTCATTTTGTTTGTTTGATCTTAATTTTGTTAAAAAAGTTCCCTTCTTTTTTTGAAATGAAAAAGAAGTAGAAAGATTTAATAATTCCTTGAGAAAATGTTTGAAATGACATAAACAGAAAAACGAATAAAAACATAAAAGAGAGACATGCTTTTATTTTAATATTTTATGCTAATCATATACATAGATATCTATGCAAGAAATCATCAATGTGTGCTTTATGTTCAAAATTACTAGAAAACATTCACTGCCAACACTTGAAAAGGTAAGGTTGTCATTTATTTCAAGTTGTAGTAATTTTTTTCTGTCACTTTTTCGTTAAAAATTTGTGTTTTAAAAACATAATGGAACAGTATTCAATTGATTTGATCGTGACACTCAAAGACAATTCACTGAAAGTCGTCTCAACTACTCGAATATTATTGAAATTCAATTTTCAAGGAATGTCTTTAAATTTTTATTTTTCAAATATCAACAATCATTACGTTCGTCAATTTATTTGTACGTTTCCCAATTTTTCATAAAGGCAACAAAGTCAATACAACATTTAATCGAAAATTTATTACGGCTTGATTTTTAGCGCTCGAGTTGGTTAAATGTCATTTTAATTTGACCTTCATCGACAAGTTTTATACCGATTTGCTATTGTTACTCAAGTTTTAGTTATATTGTGTACGTACAACAGTAACGTAGTCGACATAAGCAGTTACGATTTCATTACTTGACGGACGGCATCCATTTTATAATAAAGTGTTTAAGGCTACATATCTCATAAACATGAACCATATTGCTTGGCAAAAATTAGAGAAAAGAAATACGAAGCTTTCAAAATTACTGGAACTTTGATTGAAGCTAAATCCATACAGTGACGGAACGCAATAAGATTAGAGAGACAATTAAGCATTTCGTTTATTATTTTGCGTCATATGACACATAAACATTACACAAAGCAATATCTCTACAAAACGCATATGATTTAAACAGCGTCTTGACCTTGAAAGAATTTTAAGTGAAAAATTGTAAATTATAAGAATCCAAGACGTTTATTTAAGATTAACTAAGGCTCAGAATGAGGTTCTTAAACTTTGAGAACAAATGAAAGATACATTGCTGTAGACACGAGATGTAAGAAACTTCAAAGACGGAGTGATAAAAATAAAACTTGATATCCTCAAGCGAAATAATGAATAATTGAAGACCTTTCATAACTTGTTGAAAAGTGACGAAATTTAACGCAATCTGTTTCTCAACTATAAGTCGAATTGTTGGACAGGTACAAGAAAGAACAATTAGGGTTTTCTTTCGTTTTAAATCCAAGAGTTATTGCGTAAATAAATAAATACAGAAATCAACACCAGATGGTTACCGAAGATTTATAGAATTGATCCAATCTTCACAGGAAAGATGAAAAATTAATATCTTAGCTTAACAATATTAGATATCTATCATTTAATGAATTAAATTTACTGTTTGTAAAAATGTGTTCAATACTTATGAGGATGCTTTAAAGTATGTTACTTATCATAAGCCCAGAGAAGATTTCTTTGATCAATTAATGATTATGGCTAATCATGTAAAGCATTCGCTTTTAAAATTGTGAATGCCGAATTTCCCAAACAAAAATTATGTGGAAAATTTAACAGCAAGTTGTACTTAAAATAATTGAAGCCTTTCATTTTATGTAAATATTACAAAATTTTAATTTCTGTTTTTAAATATTTGGTGAAACTATTTTTAAGTTAATTTTTAAACGTATTGTGCGGTTCCTGAAATGGGCACTTAAAATATTTCTTGAGACATTTTTTGATCACCTCAATTGTGTCAAGATTTTCTATTTTCTTACATTTGACGAAATGGAGCTCGCCGGTGTGATTATGCATGGCTCTTAAAAGCTACAAATTTTGAAAAGCTTTAAGGTGATAAATTTTCTATCAATTTGTTCTTAGAAACTTCCGTTCAGAGAAACCTTGAGATTCCAAATGAATGTCGAGTCAAAACTCTGAAAAAAGTAATGGGCAGGAATACATGCTGTAATAATTCAGAGTAAACGATTGAAGAGATTCTAAGATGAGGAAAAAATTTAATTGCGAAATCTCAGCAATCACATTTACACATTCACAAATTCACTCGTCCAAAATTGAACGCAAAGTGGAAAATTAATGATTATTTTCACTTTTCCAGATATTTTTCTATAATATTTATAATCACTGTACGCTGGTCGTCACCCTAGGAGGTAGACCTCCGGAAAATCTAAAACACTAATTATTTTTTTAAAATAAATATGCTCGTGGTTAGTGGTAAACGTGTGTTCGTTCGTTCAGTACTTTCTCTACCGTTACAGATATTCAAGAAGAAAACTCAAAGTGTTATTCACAAGCCCAACGAGCGTCTAGTTGCGGCTACTAGTTACGATTCGATGCACTCATCAACTAATTAAAAGACACCTCTTTTGTTTCATTAACTCTTTACAGTAATGAAAATAATAAATGTTCGTTCAAGTAACGTTCAGTGCAATTACTAGAGCATAGTCAATTGAATCGTAAATACTCTTGAGTCTCCTTAGTCATGATGAAGAAGACCAATAATTTCTACATGGCATCTTTGGATACGTTTATGTTCAACATAAGGTTGAAAATTTTAAGTCTTTTTTTATACTTAAGTTAAACAAAACATTAATTGAAGATCACTTTCAACTGATACAAATGAGTTACTTAATTTGTCATGAGTAATGTGTAGAGAAATGAAATTTGAAGTTAATTTAACACGGTGGAATGAGTGACATGAATGATTCACCGAAACGTTCCAAAACGAAGAAAAAAAATAATAAAAAAGAAGCAAAGTGCCATTAAGCAAGCCGTGTGATTAAAGCCGCTTTCATAAGATATTAATTAATATTTCGGGCATATTAATTCAAAAGCTCTACTTCTTTCTCTACTTCATTCATAGTTATTCCCCTCAATGTTTTCCGAGCTTGAAAGTAGTGGAGAATCTCACTTAATGTCGCCCACTACTCACATGTTACAATGTTTTCCTGTAGCATTACTATTAAGTTATTGATTGAAATGTAATATTTTGAATAAATAATTTCCTTAGATGTTACTTGCTAGTAGCTTCTTTATGAAAAGATAAATTTTGTGTCTTTATTTTCGCATAATTGATTATATCAATAAATAAATATATGAATGAGTAATGCTTGTAAGCCGATAGGAAATATCTTTATAATTTTTCATTTTAAATCTGATGCTGACTGTCAACACATGGCTTATTACATATTAAGTATTTTAGAGTGGCCGATTGCCTTGAACAAAGTTACATTTATCTACCTAAATAGTGATAATGACAAAGCTAAATATTTCACACGGTTCATGTCACCTATATAAAGTTGTGTGCATGACGTTTTTAGTCGTGTCGTGAAGTGTGTAAAAATGATTGAAATGTGATTAAAACTAAGACATCTTTTACGTCTAATCCATGTGCTATATTTGTATATAACACATGAGCGTTAAACTTGATGCGAAGCTTCCAAAGTGTTCTAAACTTTACTAGTTCATTCATAACGAAATCGGTAAAATAATTTTCAACTATCTATAATAAATTTCAAAGATTCTTTTTTTCTTCAAGTTTCAAGTATTAAAAAGAAATCTTTTCACAAATTTTGTTAATTTATTGATGTATGATTTACTTTTGTTTAAACTTACTTTGAAATCATAATTCTATATTTGAAGATTCTTAATGAACGAAAGGAATCTAAAGGTTACAGTAAAAAAGATATAATATTCAAAGGCTATAACATTATATTGAATTCTACCCGAAGCGATCGTTAAGATCTGAGACAATGACATAGCATCCATCGTAAGTCCAAGACAAAAAAGGAAAAGAGAGAATGAGAAATATTTGTCAAAGATTTCGATAATAATTATCGTCATTTTTTTATTATTAAAGAAATTTTTAATAAATTCTTTTTTATTCAAAATTTATATGTTCATCTTTAGAAAATGTGAACAAACATGATGTTGTAAAAAGAGAAGAGTTCTAAATTCTACGTTATTTTGAGGGATTCTTATTTAAAAATATAAAATGTGATATTTCTGAGCTTTTATGCAAGGAAATATAGTTTCAATTGAATATTACTATTACAAGTAGAATTTCAGAATAATTAACATTTCAATTAAACAGAATAAGGTTGCAAATACAACTTCAATTTGACGAAGGTAAGCCAAAGGCTATAACTTCTTTTGTGCTTTTACTCTCGTTCCCTCTCGCTTCAACATTAATAGAACGCACTGAATTATTAATTTTTATTGCCCAATTAATTTGCTTCGTTGCATGCCATAAAGTATAAGGATGGTAATTGCTCTAAATATTAGATTGGGACGACACTTATTATTTGACTTAACTACGTAGCTCTTTTTGCTTGCATTTATAATTTTATTCTAATTTTATACCATAGGCTATTACAGGTATTTTAATTTTTTACGATACAACCCAAAAGAATGAAGCGACTTTGTGTGTGAGAAAGCTAATAATGTACGTCCACACTGCAATTATGTATGCAAGCGATATGGTTATAAAAATGATGATGTAATCAACTCAAAATGTCGTATTAAAAAAGACAGATAAAAAATACGAAAATCATAAAATCACTTTTATTGCATCATTATTTATAGGAGCGAGAGCAGAGAACTTAAGAATGGAGACTGCTTTTATGTTTCCTCGCAATTAAGCCGAAGTTCTAACGACAACACAATAAGAAATAATATTTAAAAAGATTAATCTTAATATGTGAATTTGGACGTCCTCAGTCATACTTATTCTTATAGCGATTGATGTTATATGAAAGACATGAAACGAAGCATTCCACAAATTATAATTTGTAAGACTTTGGAAAGTAATGAGTCAAATAACAACTTTCTTTAAGAGAGGAAAAAAAAAGTCTGGAAGCAAAATCTCTGAGACTCATGACAATAATTTTTAACGGTGCACACATCAGATTTGTTAACGATCATCAGTTGTTGTTGTTCTTGTTATTGGTGTGTATAGTAATAAAAGTTGTTTGATTTTTTTCCTTCTTTTTTAACTTTAAATACAGATATTTAAGTGTCATTGTGACTTTGAGCAATAAATAGTGATAAATTTTTTGATTTTATTATTGATAATGTGACTTAAATTATTCATCATAATTTCCATATAAAATTTAACTTTAACACAAGTCAATTCCGATGTAATATATCATTGCAATTTGTAATCGTCATCATCGTAAGTAGATTTACATTTAAGAGCATGAAATAAATAAGATTGAAGTCTGTGAGAATGTTAAATCAGTTAATTAAGATATATCGAACACATGTTTGTCTTAAAAAATGTAAAACACATGGCTGTGACAGACAAAACGATTTAAATTTAAAATCAAACTTTCAATAATGAAATTATAATTACAAAACACTTTTATAACCAACCTATAGCTACACAGCTACATAGTTAGTCTCTATTCATGGTAGCTAAAGAATTGAAAAAAAACCAGTGAAAAAAAATCATTCCAAGTTTCATTCTTTCGAGCATTTCCGTAAGAATTGGTCATAAGAGCGCTTCACAACAATTACTTTAAGACTATCTAATATTAATCTCTTCTTTTAAACCACGATCATTAATTTTCCTTTCTTTTTGTATAATTTTTAATAAATTAACCTTGACAATTTTTTTTAAGCCTCTTGTTGTATCACGGATCACGGAAACTGACAGTTTTAGGTAATAATTAGAATCGATATAATTTCACTGTTTCGTTAATGGTTACATCAAATTTCGGGGAGTAAATCGTTGATGGAACTCTTTTTTCAAAACACACACTGATTATCTTTTCAATTTAACGACGGCAATATGTTTTCACATTCATCGGAATATAAATTTGCTTACCATTTTTTATTTCTTTAATTTTCGAAACTTGTCATTTTTTATTCAGAAGTTGGTAACTTTGCAGAATCTTTTTTAAATTTTGTTTTTGTTTTTTGGCACCAAAATTTCCACAAAAAGATTAAATTAACATGTTTTTAGTTGATGTTTTTTCCAGAAAACAACGTTTTTAAGTACCGTTTAATTTATTTTCTATAAATTATCTATCACATTTTTTCTTTTCAATCTTTTTTTATAATTTGGATTCACTATTAACAATTTATTCTTATCGATTCAGATAATGTTTCCAAACAAATGATCGTTCCTTTTATTTCACTAATTGAGAAACATTATAAATCTCAGTGACATCGAAACTTCTGCTCGAGTTAAAAATCAGACAGAGAACGAACAAAAAATAAAAATTTTCTTCGCAGCCGCGGAATCGACACGTTATACTTGCAAAGCTGATTTAAAAATAATAATAATACTGTTGAACTTTTTTTAATGTGACGAAGAGAGCCAAAGTCAGGTGTCGTCGGACAAAATCGAGAAAAATAATACAAAACACACTGAAAGCTCTTATGCTTATTTCCTAATATTATTTCACATTCGTATTTTTCTTCTTTTTTTCTCAGATATTCTATTTGCTGTGTCCATCACAAACACGACTGAAAGGAGTGGGAGAGAGACGCTCTTTTCAACTCACTGGTACATGTATATTTTATCTATGTTTTTTATGCTTATTCCAGAAAAAAAACCTCACAAAATGTAAAATATATACAAGAGGAAAAATATCAACCGCTACAAAGAGTATCAACAGAACGACAACACCAGCAACCGATGTCTGCGGATGGAGAAAAATTGTACGTGAAAATTGAAATGGAAAAAATATCTGTAGAGGCACACAGGCAGCAACTTAGTCGCCTGAGAGAGTTGACAAAGTATATCGTGAAAAAAGAAAACATTATAAAGAGAAAAAAGAAAAAAAGTGGCGGGGGAAGGCGGCGAGAGACAAACACTAACGTCAATTCCAGTGATGATATTTTCATGCAACGAGAATCTGTTTTCTTCATATTATTCTTCAAGTCCCGGGATGCGACCAAAAGAATGATACATAAACACAAAAAATCAGGAGAACATGTTGGTTGTCTTACCACAAGTCGTCATGTCACACTGATGTCGTTTGTATACTCGATGTAGATGTGTTTGTATACATTTTCTACGTTTATTCTCTCAAAACACTGCTCAGAGCTTGATCGAAGTTTCTCATTATATATATTTTTTCTTTTGTACTTATTCCGAAAGAAAAACAAGGCACTGAAAGAGAAGAAGACATAAAATAGTACCAAGAGAGACATATTTGAATTTTGTATACATATTTACGATGTAGCATCATCTGAAAAAGCTCAGAAATTGGATAATAAATGCTAAAAATAGAGCATATAAAAATTGCAATTGTGTAAGTGAGCGAACTGATTGTGAGTTTGTGATTGGACGACGATTTTTTAAATAAAAAATGTTTATGTGACAATCAGGATTTTCGCTCTTTACGTACAAACACATAGTATTTGTGTATAGGACGAACAATATTTTCGCTATATAGGTAGATATATAAAAAGAATTCGAGGGCAGGAAGACACGATTTTGGAATGAAATGATTTTTTTCAATCTATGCATGGGACAAAATAAGTTTGGGAAATAAATTTTTGTTTCATAAGAATTTTTATTAATTGGGATGGTTCAATACTCTTTTAATCTACAATCTATGCAAACTGATAATCACTACGAAAGTAATTTTTTTTTCTCAATAAATTGAATCACTTAAGGTCATAAAACATAACATCATTAAAAAAAACTTCTTCTTTCATTTGAAATTTACTCGAAACTTGCTTAAAATATTGAAATTCATATGCTTAATTCATATATGAAAACCACCAGTGCAATATGCACGAAGATTTCACCAAGTTTCATTCAATTATATGCTAATATTTAAATTTCTGCCTAAATAAGCAGTGAAATAGAAACATTGCGCTTTTCGTAGAGAGAAATTGGTTTATGTCCATGATTCGCACGGCAAAGCAAAAAGAAGAAAAAACAATAAGAGTAAAGCAAATTCATGCATTGTACGATGTGTTTCTTCATAATTTTATTTCTGTATGTTTTGAAGCTTTTAAGCATGCTTCAAATTGTCTGCCCGTCATTAATTCAAAGAGATGATTAAAATTCTCAAAATATTAAATCTGTTTTTTAAATCCAAGAATCTTTTCAAATCTTTTTCAAAAGTAAAAATTTAAAGTTAGATTTTTATGTTTGAAAAAAAATCAATAAAATTTACAACATAGATATTTATGCAAAGTTGAAAATATGCTCAAATTTTACATACTTTTTCGCTTTGAGTTTCAGTCCTAATGAAGGCTTCCAAAGCATATTGCTTGAAATTAGTGATGAAAGGGTAAAGTATCATAAAAAGGACAACTATAAATAACTCTTTTTAAAGATGATAAACAACCAAGCATAGTTTAATTGTACTTATAAAAAAATAGGAAGAAATTTGAATTGTACTTATTGGTTATCTATGCTATTTTTTATTATTTTATTGCATAAGTTCTTCTACTTGTTAGATATTTAATGTTGTTTTAAGTTTTTTTATTTACTTTCCCCTTTTACTTGCCAATATGGTTATTATTTTACAAGAAAACAGGGTTTGGAATTAGTTTGAATGCGATAAAAACTCGTAAACTGAATCTTATTTCCTCAACACACAGAATTTCACTTACATTGTCATTTAAATGATTTTTGAAAGTTCAAACTCTAAATTTTAGTTGCTTTGTATTCAGTTGAACAATTTTATTAAATAATTAAACGTAGAAGCACCTGACCTACGTTTGAAACATTTAAAGTCAAAACTTACATTCTTTATTGATTAAGCTGTACTCATACGTTTTAATTTTCCTCTAAGTTTTTTTACGATCTCACTAATAAGTGTTGAATCTTTACTCAATTACAAAAGCCAAATGAAACTTCATTATTTATCTAATTAACGAATTTTCAAGACATACCATGAACGTTAGTATCAATTTAAAAAAACGATTAGAGTTTTATCTAATTTAATTAAGTTTTCGTTTCAAGCGTATCGTTTAATTTTTTATTACTATATAATAAAATTTTGGACGTATGCTTTAAATCTAATTAATGATATAAATAGTAAAACACCGTTGATATCTCTCATAGTTCATGCTAAACAATTAAGTGTCGAGCACTTTGCATGATTTCCATTTATTCGATTCATTCCTATTTAGATACATTTTATTAACGGAAATGAACATATCTCTGTTAAGTTTAGAGTCAATATGATTATATTTTGTAAGTAAACTTAAAAATTATTTAATAAATAAAATTTCGATATTCTTCAAGTGTGTCCACTGATGGCAAACAAATATCGAAAAACATTAATAAAAAACCTAAGTAACATTTCAATTTATTTCTTTTATTTTTCATAAGCTTTGTCATTTCTTTTCAAATGTTGATGATATTATTAAGAGCGGCACACTTCTAATAAAATAGAAACACATTTTTTATAAAACTTTTTAAATTAAAACAACAGTTGGACATCATCTCATTATTAAGTTTTAATGTCACGAACAAGGATCCAAAAACCTTTGAGTTTCGGATCATAATTCTTCAATATGTTACCCAAACCTATCTCAATTTATACAAATGAATTTAACTAGAGTATACCAATTAACTTTTAGGTGTCTCGATTTTATTCTTATAAATATTATTTGCAGTCACATTTCCTTTCCCGTATGGCGATCTTTTGAATGTTTTATTTGCTAAACCTTTCAAATGTAAATGAAAAATCCATAGGTGGTCGATCTGGATACTGACATATGTTGTGAATGCATGCAAGAATCCTTCGGGAGGTAAATAAACGTCGAGAATTCCTTTTCGGGACTTTATTCTCTTTGAAAATTGCCTGTTTGTAAGAACAATCAAAAAAGCATCTATGTGGCGCTTGATGAACAAAACAAAAATGACAACATAATACTGAATAACTCCAAAATATAATCCTATTTTAGTTTAATTGTTCTTCTTTTTAAATCAGGTTAGTAATTTCGTCCCTTGGAAATCATAAAAGGTTGCAAACAAGATAATCGTTTTGTAGATGTAAATCAATGAGATTAGCCAATCTGATGGATTGCACTTGAATAATAAAGTTGTTAGATAAAAATCTAAAGTCTTTCTTTGAGAATTTTTAGTAGCATCACGAAGAACTCGTTTCTGATCCCTTCAAAGGGTTTTATGGTTTCGTTCCTTTTCTTTTCTTTATTCTTCGGTAAAATTAACAAAAAACTCACACAGGTCAAATTTTTACAATTCGGTGAACAGTTAGGGCGGTACTTCAATCATTTGAATTCTCATTAAGCAATAAAATCTATTCGAAAAGCAATAAAGAAACCCTTCTTGTCGCATTGGTGTTCAATAAAAGAATCGTAGGACAATAATATGACATGAAATGCGGTTGTTTCTTATATTGAATGAAAGGATTCAAAAACGTATTATAAAAGGAACGATGGGTATATTGACGGCAATTATTATGCAATAAAACATAAATGTATGCTTCATGACTTATTCCCAGGAAAAATTAAATGCTGTGAATAAAACTGGGGAAATATTCTTCTATGACAATATGTGGATGATTGAAGAAAAACTATAAAGAAGGAACATGTGAAATTTAGTAAAGGATTCTTATTTATGTTAACAATTAAGCATTCAGATTAATTTATCACCTTTTGAAAAATCATTTAATTCTGTCCACGAATAAAATTTTTGATCAAAAAAGGAGAATAAAAAATTTTTTATTTCAAACAAGTTTCTAAGTTGTTTTAGATTGATAAATTGCTAGTAACTTATACAAGTTAATTGTTAACTAAATGAAAGTTACAAAAGTTGATTTATTTGGGCAGATGATGATTAAGATCTTAATAAAAATCCCCAGATATTAATAACTTCCACTATGTTTAGTATTTCAAGAATAATTCATGATCAACTGTTGTTTAAGGTTGTTGCTCTGTCGCATATTGCATAACCAATGCTGGAAAAAATGAAAATCTACCTGATGTTTATTTTCCACTGTGCTGATTACTTGAGGAACGAATAATTTCTATTCGTGATTACCTGAAAACATTAATTTTAAACTGTTTTTATTTTCTTCTTATTTTTTACATCAAAGGCGTCTCTTCCCATGAATTACTCTTTTTCACGATGTAGTTCATGAAAAATTACTGCTCTGACAGTCACTCGGACATTTGAAATACATTAGACTGATTAAAAAACGCTGATTTATAAAATTAATTTAATTATCATACATATGAGGGTACATATGTGGAGAAGAAATGACTTGAAATGTATGAGATGGTTCGTCGAATTTTCGCTATTTCTCTTACTCTTTCTCAAATGTTACTTACTTAAAAACACATATTTTTGACGGAATTTTAAATGATATGACCTAAAGTTAAAAACTGATTACTTTTCTTACTTTCTACAGCAAACAATCCATCTCCTATGTCAACCAGTTTAAGTATCTAAGTTGGTATTTCATTAATGTTTTTTTTCTCTTTAATCTCTATCTAGACAGTTTGAAATTGTGAAATGAAAATAATGTGAATTGTTCGAGCATGACAATTTTTAATAAACGAACTCAGTATGAAACAATTTTACATCGTAATTTCATCTTCTTATTTATTTTTTAAGAAAATGAAGAAGCAAAGCAACATCAATGAATTTCAAGTTGAGAGAATCCAAATTATGTAATTTTAACAAAAGACTTGGCTCTAAATAAACAACATTTCAATGGAAACTCATCATAATCACAACTCCGATACCTAAAAAAGAAGTTTTTTCCGGCTTTGTAGACATTACAGTATGCAACTCGAAGTAATTGAGAATTTTCCGAAAGGTAAAGAAATAAATCTGAAACCAATTGTGTCATACAATGGTTTATCTTTCTTTCCTACTATTTATTTATGTCGCTTGAGTTTGCTCCGCCTCAATGTCCTCAAAGAATATTTTAAACAAAGATATAATAGACATTGCACAAGAGATTTTATT